ATATCTCCAGAGCTCCAGTGCCCGAGCACAACATGTATTTATATATCTCCAGAGTTCCAGTGCTCGAACACAACGTGTATTTATATATCTCCAGAGTTCCAGTGCTCGAACACAACATGTATTTATATATCTCCAGAGCTCCAGTGCTCGAACACAACGTGTATTTATATATCTCCAGAGTTCCAGTGCTCGAACACAACGTGTATTTATATATCTCCAGAGTTCCAGTGCTCGAACACAACGTGTATTTATATATCTTCAGAATTCCAGTGCTCGGACAGAACGTGTATTCATATATCTCCAGAGTTCCAGTGCTCGAACACAACGTGTATTTATATATCTCCAGAGCTCCAGTGCTCGAACACAACATGTATTTATATATCTGCAGAGCTCCATTGCTCGAACACAACGTGTATTTATATATCTCCAGAGGTCCAGTGCTCGAACACAGCGTGTATTTATATATCTCCAGAGTTCCAGTGTTCGGACATAACGTGTATTTATATATCTCCAGAGTTCCAGTGCTCGAACACGTGTATAGAGAATGTACAAGTGTGTGACGGTACACAAGGCTGTGATGATGGGAGTGATGAAGGAAGATGTCGTAAGTATTCTACACATGTGGCACACTCTTTAAAATACGAGGAGCGGTGGGGTAGCATTGTGGTTAAAGCGGTCGCCTGTAACGAGTTCGATTCCGCACACGTATGGTGTGTGAAGCCCACTTCTGATGTCCCCCGCCATGATATTGCTGGAATACTGTCAAAACAACGCTCACTCACTAGTGCAGGGGCTTGTGTAGCAAATGTATTTTCCTATGAAAGTGCGTGTTAGTTTTTGGACCATTGATAATTGAAACCAATATTGCATGTGGGTTCAGAAAAGCCACGGTTCCATTATTTTCTCATGAATATAAGTGTCATTCTGGGGTAACGGAACATCGGTACCCATAATCGAACCGGAACGCCAATGTGAGAAAGCATATTTTCATAAACCTATCACAACATATGCATGTAGGATATCTAAATCTACCTTGTTATGGGTGCTTTACAACTATCATTATATAGTAGGCCTCTCAATAATATATGTATGCACAATAATCACTATAATAAAATTGCATCTGCCAAAACCATGCTTTTGCAGAGGGTATGTATTCAACCCTGTTTGTGTGCGTGCGTGCGTGCGTGCGTGTTGCATTAATCGTAGAGCTTAAGGACTACGTTTTGTGGTTAGAGGAAAATGGCAAAGTCCTCACAGCCCGGGCAGGATGTAGGCAATTTCCTATTGTCACACCTGTGTCAATTACCTGGTCAAACAAGTAATGCTTCGACTACCTTGACAACAACCAGACTAAGAACTTTACAGTGGAAAAACTTGGCATTTTAATTTAAATGAATATACATGGAATCATTGGTGACATAGTTTGACTAATATGAAGGCGTTCCATTTTGTTCACATGGGGATTTTCATTAAATGTTCATCAAAAAATATTTACTTCATCACGTGTCTTAAAATGCGAGGAAAAGTTGTGTATTTTATATTATTTTAAAATAAACTTTGTTTATTTGGCAGTAAGGCTTAATACAATTTCTGAGTATTTATGTGTTTTATATTTTACATTTCGTCTATTTCGCCACTGATTTGATATTTTCATTTGCGCCATGCCATCTTTTGAACTTTTAGAATAGTTGCATAACTACTCAACTAATGCAGCTACTATCCCAACGTCGCTGCAATATTGAAATCGAATTCGAACCTCATTTCATAATCTTGCACCTGAATTTCAGATTGTTATAAGAAATATGACAGGACGGATGGGTGTTGCGCCACTTGCTTTTAATTTTATTAGTGGTTTGATTGTATTTAGGTCGATTAATCAAGGCAAAATAAGTAAATGTTTCATAATTGTAACTTAACAGCAGCTTGCTTCCTCACTCCGAATTTGGCTCAACGTGTAGATATATATATATCTCCAGAGATCCAGTGCTCAAGCACAACGTGTATTTATATATCTCCAGAGCTCCAGTGCTCTAGCACAACGTATTTATATATCTCCAGAGTTCCAGTGCTCGAACACAACGTGTATTTATATATCTCCAGAGTTCCAGTGCTCGAACACAACATGTATTTATATATCTCCAGAGCTCCAGTGCTCGAACACAACGTGTATTTATATATCAGAATTTCCAGTCTCCAGAGTTCCAGTGCTCAAGCACAACGTGTATTTATATATCTCCAGAGCTCCAGTGCTCGAGCACAACGTGTATTTATATATCCCCAGAGTTCAAGTGCTCGAACACAACGTATGTATTTATATATCTCCAGAGTTCCAGTGCTCGAACACAACGTGTATTTATATATCTCCAGAATTCCAGTGCTTTGAACACAACATGTATTTATATATCTCCAGAGTTCAAGTGCTCGAACACAACGTGTATTTATATATCTCCAGAGGTCCAGTGCTCGAACACAACGTGTATGTATATATCTCCAGAGATTCCAGTGCTCGGACATAACATGTATTTTATATATCTCCAGAGTTCCAGTGCTCGAACACGTGTATAGAGAATTTACAAGTGTGTGACGGTACACAAGACTGTGATGATGGGAGTGATGAAGGAAGATGTCGTAAATTATTCTACATGTATGTGGCACACTCTTCAAAAATACGAGGAGCGGTGGGGTAGCATTGTGGTTAAAGCGGTCGCCTGTAACGAGTTCGATTTCGCACACGTGTATGGTGTGTGAAGCCCACTTCTGATGTCCCCGCCATGATATTGCTGCTGGAATACTGTCAAAACAACGCTCACTCACTAGTGCAGGGGCTTGTGTAGCAAATGTATTTTCCTATGAAAGTGCGTGTTAGTTTTGGACCATTGATAATTGAAATCAATATTGCATGTGGGTTCAGAAAAGCCACGGTTCCATTATTTTCTCATGAAACCGAATATAAGTGTCATTCTGGGGTAACGGAACATCGGTACCCATAATCGAACCGGAACGCCAATGTGAGAAAGCATATTTTCATAAACCTATCACAACATATGCATGTAGGATATCAAAATCTACCTTGTTATGGGTGCTTTACAACTATCATTATATAGTATGCCTCTCAATAATATATGTATGCACAATTATCACTATAATAATAATTGCATCTGCCAAAACCATGCTTTTTTGCAGAGGGTATGTATTCAACCCCGTTTGTGTGCGTGCGTGCGTGCGTGCGTGCGTGCGTGTTGCATCCTCTCTCAGTTCTGTACCTTCCCTAGCTCTGACCACACTGTTACACCTGGGTACCTTCCCTCAGTTGCATCCTCTTCCAGTTCTGTACCTCCCCTAGCTCTGACCACACTGTTACACCTGGGTACCTTCCCTCAGTTGCATCCTCTTCCAGTTCTGTACCTCCCCTAGCTCTGACCACACTGTTTCAGGGTACCTTCCCTCAGTTGCATCCTCTTCCAGTTCTGTACCTCCCCTAGCTCTGACCACACTGTTACACCTGGGTACCTTCCCTCAGTTGCATCCTCTCCAGTTCTGTACCTCCTAGCTCTGACCACACTGTTTTCAGGGTACCTTCTCCCGTTGCACCCTCTCCCATTTCTGTAACACACACACACACACACACACACACACACACACACACACACACACACACACACACACACACACACACACACACACACACACACACACACACACACACACACACCCTTAGCTCTGGCCAAACTGTTACACCTGGGTACCTTCCTGTGGCAGCCCTCTCTCCCAGCTGTGCCCTCTCTAGGTCTCCGCTCTGTTACAGCTGGGGACCTCCCTAGCTGCCTGCCACAGCTAGGGACCATCCTTGGGTACACAGCTGTGCATCCTTTCCAAGGTCAGTACCTCCCCACAGCTGTATCTTTCAGCTCTGTACCCACTCCAATGTCCATACAATACACATGGCATGAGAAGAATTCAATACTTGATTTCACTGAAAATGGAATCCGTATCCCACACTGTGACAAATCCTTTTTTGGGCACTATCTCTTGATTAGTAAAAATTCCAGGTTAGTTAATAATGAGAACCAGGGAGTACAACAGTTGTCGTCGTGATCAGTTTTGTTCCTTCCATGTAGAGCCGCGCCCCTCTCACCTGCCATCCCCCCCACTGCAGGCCCTTCCTGTCCATATAGAACCCACCCCTCCATTCCTTGCTTTCCCACTGTACCCAGGCCCTTCCTGTCCATGTAGAGCCATCGCCCCTCCTCACCTGCTCCCCACTGCAGGCCCTTCCTGTCCATATAGAGCCCACCCCTCCCCCACCCCTCTTCCTTGCTTCCCCACTGTAGGCCCTTCCTGTCCATGTAGAGCCTCGCCCCTCTCACCTGCTCCCCCACTGCAGGCCCTTCCTGTCCATATAGAACCCACCCCTCTTCCTTGCTTCCCCACTGTAGGCCCTTCCTGTCCATGTAGAGCCTCGCCCCTCTCACCTGCTCCCCCACTGCAGGCCCTTCCTGTCCATATAGAACCCACCCCTCTTCCTTGCTTCCCCACTGTAGGCCCTTCCTCTCCATGTATTTATAAAATATGACATTCATTCTATGGGAGAAATCTAATTGTTCCAGGGTATTATCAAAGATTCATGTTCCAGGGTATTATCAAAGATGCATGTTCCAGGGTATTATCAAAGATTAAGCCTGTTTAACAATAGAGCAGACAAATAAGAGAAACTGTTATATTCAGAACATGACTAGCGTATGCGGTGCGGTGTGGTAGCCCTGTGGTTAAATCGTTCTCTAGTCACGCCGATAACCATGGTTCGATTCCTCAAGTGGGCACTGTTTGGAAAATCTCTCTCTGGAGTTCCTCGTTGTGATAGTGTTGAGCTATATCTTAAGGGGGCGTAAAACAACATCTAGTCACTCATGAACGCGATATAACGCATTACTTTGTTCCAAGTATTTGGGAGTAGAATACTGGTTGGTTCCTCTGTCAGGATTAAAGCAAAAGCAAGAAAGATGTTCTATGGTCTCGGTATCGTGTCCATAAGAGGTAGGTCTGGGATATTCCATTTCTCACTCTCTCGCTATTTGGAAAATGAGATGTTTTATTGGACGAGGACACGTCCTGTGAAATTGAATCTTCATTTCGACTGGCCCTCACTCTCCATGTCAGGCACACTGAACTATATATAATGTGACTTTTTTATTGTGCCTGTTTGTTCTTTTTAGTTGTTTAACGCCACTCGCAGCAATATTCCAGCTATATGACGGCGGTCTGTAAATAATCGATTATGGACCAGACAATCCAGTGATCAACAGCATAGGCAACGATCTCCGAAACTTGGATTAAATGACATTTGTCCACCAAGTTAGCGAGCCTGACCACCCGACCATGTTCGTCGCCTCGAACGAAAAGCATGGGTTGCTGAAGATCAATTCTAACCCGGATCCTTACGGGTATTGATTTATGCGAGACATATGGCAAAGTGACTTCAATATAGACCTTCTAGATTATGTTTGGCACATAGCTTTTTCAGGTGTATATGTTTCAGTGTTAAACGATTCGTATAAATCTATGGAACAAATCTTCATGTACTAATATGTTTCCCGTTCGTGATGTGCAATCTCGTCCTAATAATTGTAGTTGAAAAAGAAGGTTTTATTAGATGCATAACGGTATCACAATACGTTGGAAAGGGTCTCTTCGCTCGATTAATATGCTTACATAGAATATACTAGAATAAAATGGCTATGCGTCCCACATACAAGATTAAATTGACATGTTATGATTCTGCATATTCAACAGGGGATTGCGCATCCCCCACAAGTACAACAACGACAACACCTTCAACGACTGCGAAGCCAACTACAACAACAGTCATCAATCCTGGTGAGAGCCTTTTGAAAAGTCTTTTTCGGAATAGTAAACGGTACAAACGGTGACAAAAAGTGATACACACAGACACAGACACGGTTACAGACACTGAAAGCCTGCTTCATCACTTGAATATTTGTGAGGATTATTGGACAAGAATTGGCATTAGTTAATGCATTGCACTCCCAATGTCATGGATTTAGATATCTGAGAGTAGTTTGCTGGTCCTCCCCGAATTATGTACAGGCAGCCGTGCTTAAACAGAATATTGCTGACTGTTGGGTTAAACAGCATCCACACTATTTTGTTTCAGCGAACATCACAGGGAAGTGCAATCAGACGGACCAGACGTACATCAGTGGCGAAACAACGGTAGAGGTCGGCTGTATCTTCCAGTCTTCCAGAAATCTCGCTGTTACCTGCCAGAAAGGAGACACCTTGATCTCATCTTCTGATAGAATACTCTATCGAACACGACGTCAACCTCACTCGATTTCTGTTCAGCTAAAGTTTACGCCAATCTTGCGCCGCGATAGAGGTAAGCAAGACAATCGTCTGGGAGTAAATTTACTTCCTTTGTTATTCCATCGTGTTTATTCAGTCACTTATCTTACTGATGTCTGTTGGATTCTTAATTACTATTTCCTTACCAATGGTTAGATTGGACCTGTTGTGAAAATGTTACCTAACAAATATTGCAAGCCTGAGGATTGACCTCTTTTTTATGTTGGTTCAACTTCCAGTTAAACCTGCTGTAAATCATTGTTACCTAGCAACATTTTCAAATGATCAACATATGCTGCAAAGGTGAGGATTCATTTTTTTTTGTGTCGTTACAAGGTTCTTCAGATCCTTGATGACATGTATCTCGGAAAGCTGACAAAATAATGAATAAATGTTCCGTTGCGACAATCCTATTTTCCAGCCTGGCCAATAATATATGTGTCCTACATCTCTCTATATTCTAGGTAACTACTCCTGCAAGGCTACCGTGGATGAGTCATCAAGGGAGATACCTTTCTCCATGCAGGTGTTTGAAAATCCGACTGTGACGTTGTTCCCGTCTACGCTGTCCCTGCAGAAAGGTGGTCAGAGGAACCTCACTTGCAAGGTTACCAACACAGGTGCTGTGAAGACGATCCCTGCAAGTCTGATTTGGTGCCGCCCAGGTGGATCCATCATAGGTCAGTGTTGAATGTGTGATCATGTGGAAATGAAAGTGAAATGTCACTGAAACTGTATATTGCCTCACCCCAATTACGTCCAATCCAGATACATAATCCGTCATATTTGCAGTACCGCGGTCTGTGCTGAATTATATATTCCGGCAAAACTGAAATGTTGGTCATGTATGCAGATGCATATCACTCCTTCATCCATTGTATTGAATACTCACATAAACTCGACACTCGTTTTAAATAAAATGTTTCTTTATGTCGAGCAGTTGAAACCTTGGATGTCACTATCGCATTACTTTTGAGGTTCAGTTGAACATGCTCTGTTTTAACGGACATTCCAAAGCTGGTCATACTGCTTCTGCTGATATTAGTGTGACCAGCGTTACAGCATTCAAGAGCCAAGTAAACATATCAAATAAAACGTGTGCATGACATTTCTAAACGTGTCGCATTAATGGACATCATGATTCAGTTACCACTTTTGAGAATAGATGTATAGGTGTAAACGTCAGTTGCTTTAGTTAAGGTTCTTTGAAAAAAAAGGCTAGCAAGATATACTAATTTAACTGCTATGATTGACAAAACATAAACAAACTTTGCTTTGACAAAGAGAAGGTGTGTTCTTATGATGCGCTATAGAACATGTAGACGACTTTGACTTTTTCTATCAGACAAATCGAAAGTCGTGAGAGTTAGAGAAGGGATTGAGAGGCTGATGCTGAACTCGACTGACGCATCTGGAAACTACATGTGTGGTGTCACCAACTGCACAGAAACAGCTACTCTTGTTGTCATCAAGCCAGGAGGTAATGGCAATACATCCTTATCGGAATCCAGTTAGTCATTCTCAAGGCAACCAGTGAGTGCTAGTTTTCGGCAACCCATGCTTGTCGTAAGAGGCGAAAAGAGGCTGGACCGACCAGCTGAATTCTTGCATGTCATTATATGCCAGGTGCGGTGATCAGTACTCATGATATCAATCACTGGATTATTTAAAGACGATCGTCATAAATCTGGTTTATTGCCGAGTGCAGCGAACAATAAACCCATTAAATTGTTTTGCTTTGTTGTCATGGAGTGAAAGGTAAACCGCTGTATGTCCTGAAGCGTTGACCGAGACGGGAATGAACTGGTCGGTACCTAATAAATGAGAGGGCTGATTTGTCGGTCATTTTCAATACTGACAACATGCGTGTAATGTTTCTCATGTTTGTCTGACCTGTTGAGTACAACCTCTCAATCCTTCAACAATACTTTCCGAGGAAGTAACTTCCTTGCAGTGTTAAATTAATATATATGTCCCTAGTATGTATGGTCTCAGTGTGTTACATTCAATATAACTGCTTGTAGAAAAGCTGTGTCCTGAAATCACAGACTCCAGAGGAACAGAGTGGCCTCAGACTGTTGGAAATACGACCATGGTGCTGCCCTGTCCTGGGGGATTTCAAGGTTTGTGTGTTGAGGTGTTATGGAAAGAGCTGATGATATCTGACTTCTATGTGTTATAACATGCATTGTTGAACTTACATTTCCTTTGTGAAAGAGAGGTATAAAGCTTTGAACGGTAAGGTATGTGAGTGCTGAATATAATGTAAACTACGAATTCCCAGGAACCACTTAATTTAGTTCGTTATAGGTGTAGTTCGTTATAGGCGTATTTCGTTATAGGCGTAGTTCGTTATAGGCGTAGTACGGTATAGGCGCAGTACGTTATAGGCGTAGTTCGTTATAAGGTGTAGTACGTTATAGGCGTAGTTCGTTATAGGCGTAGTTCGTTATAGGTGTAGTACGGTATAGGCGTAGTTCATTATAGGCGTAGTTCGTCATAGGCGTAGTACGGTATAGGCGTAGTTCGTTATAGGCGTAGTACGGTATAGGCGTAGTTCGTTATAGGTGTAGTACGTTATAGGCGTAGTTCGTTATAGGCACTACGATATAGAGCAAATTGTTCTGCCAAACAGTGTTCTCTTCGTTTTAAGGGTGTTCGTTACAAACGTAGTTTTCTATAGTTCGTGGTAGTTTGCCATTGTGGCAGAACTATTGATGCGTTACAGAGTTTTCTATAGTTCGTGGTAGTTTGCCATTGTGGCAGAACTATTAATGCGGTACAGAGTATAGTCTAATGAGAGATTTTCGTGGTCGTTTGCAATTGTGACAGGACTATCGATACGGTACAGAGTATAGTCTAATGAGAGATTGTTCGTGGTAGTTTGCCATTGTGGCAGAACTATCGATACGGTACAGAGTATAGTCTAATGAGAGATTGTTCGTGGTAGTTTGCCATTGTGGCAGGACTATCGATACGGTACAGAGGAACCAAGGATTATACTAAGTGCGATAATGGGATTCAAGCCTCAGTCAGTTTATCCTCGCACCGCTGGTGCTAATCAATAATATTTTTGTATTGTCCGAATATTTGTTCATTCCTAAAAAGTAAGAGAAAGGAGGCTGAGACCCCCATTACCTTTCAGGGAGTGAACATATACAAGACCTTCTCCTCCTTACATCAGATGTCTGATTTATAACATTGACAAAACAAGGATTCAGTTAAACATTTGAAAACATGTGTCGAGTTTGCCTGTTGCACGCGAAGAGTCAGTGCCGTGTCAAAATGTAAATATAGTTCTGTCTATTTAATTGACAAACTGTTTCAATCCCTGAAAGATTTTGGAACGTTTATAAAATCGAACGATGTAGTTCAAAACTTCCATAATTTTAGGAAAATCTATCGTAATAAGTGATCATGATATGACCTAACTTGACAAATATACAAACAGAAATGAAAATATATGAAATTTATACATTTCTTTAGAAAGTTTATTTTGACAGTTTGAAAGTTTAGTTTTGAAGCTAGATTATACTATAATATACTATTATACTATATACTATGTCTATACAAATAGCGTTTGAGTGACTGAAAGATGTTTCACGTCCAAGTGTCAGCATTAAATGTGATTGAGAGTGTGAACGACAATCCAAGCCCGCCAGTCACAATGAGAGAAGGTCATAAACTAATCCTCAATATCTGTTATGGATGTATCCACACAATTAGATAAAACTGTTTGTGCAATGACCTTTTTAATCTTGAAGGTAACGTTCGACGTGTCTGTGACGTCACTGGTGAGTGGGAAGAAGTAAACTACATAACCTGCGTGAGAGAGGAGATAGCCCAATTAGAGGAAAAGGTTAGTTAACACAACGTGGTGGTCAAACAGCGTCTTTGATACAAGTGTGGCGTGACGATTACTTGTTGATCAATGTCATTGTCAGATAACCAGTGAAGATCCGGGTTTGAATTGGTCTTCAGCAGCTTGTCGAGAGAGGAGACTAACAAGATCGGGTGATCAGGCTCGCTGACTTGGTTGACACATGTTATGGTATCTCAATTTCGTAGATCGATGCTCATGATGTTGACCACTGGATTGTTTGTTCCAGTCTCGATTATTTACAGACAGCCGCTATAAAACTGAAGAATTGCTGAGTGCGGCATTAAACAACAAACAAGCAAGCAAACAAACAAACAAACGATTTCTCGTTTCTTTGATTTTCAACGGAATCGTAAAACAATATTACTAAGAATAGCCAGTCTGTGTAACGCTTGCATTTCGGTATCTGCGATCACTGATAAAGGAAGAGGTTAGGTAAACAACGAACATTTCTGATGATACACAACATTTGTCCATTCGTCGATATTTAATGAAACAGTTCAAGCATACTAGGAAGAACACGGAAGTGAACATCTTTGTACCTCTTGTGTTTAGGTTGCTTCGATCACCGAAGGAGCTGTGTCCAGTGAAGCTGTCAAGAATGTGCTGGAGAAGCTGCAGGAGGTTACCAAGGTCAACGACTCCTCTGCAGGGGATCTGGACAAATTCATTGACCTTGTGGACACGCTGGTCAGTGCAGTGAGCAGGTCTGGTTCACCAATTGTAGTGGACACTGCTACAGCACGGGTAAGATCTATACCCTGTATCTATGCTAACCTGCTAACTGCCCACCGGACTACTGCCACCTGTCTCTCTCTCTCTCTCTCTCTCTGTCTCTCTCTCTCTCTCTCTCTCTCTCTCTCTCTCTCTCTCTCTCTCTCTCTCTCTCTCTCTCTCTCTCTCTCTCTCTCTCTCTCTCTCTCTCTCTCTCTCTCTCTCTCTCTCTCTCTCCCCGTCCATTGTACCCCACCCCAACAACTGCCCCTGGGTTAATTGCCCCCCCGGACATCTTACAAATCTGGCTATCTCCCCCGTCCACTGCACCCCGGACAGCTAACTAAAAGTAGTAGTTTTAAATTTCTTCCTATATTTCATATTTATAGAACTATATAATACAACACAACATATAAATCTTCAGATTCACTCAGTACACATTTTTCAGAAAGTTCATAATTATCACTTCATTTCACTTAACAGGACAGATTGTTGGAAATGGCTCTTAAAACGTGCAAAATGTCCATAGAATTCTAGTTATATTGTCCGGGTGGCAGTTAGCCTGATACCATGTTTCTGTACACATGTGTCGCTCTGCACACCTGTATCTATACACGAAGGTATCTATATCCTCACATACACCCTTGCTTGTCTACAAAATGACTTTGTTACACAGGATGCAGGTACATTGCCAGGAAATTCTCTGGAGTATCTGGAGTAAAAAGGACGCATAAGGCAAAATAGCGGTGAAAATGAAATGAGTGGGTCACTGAAAATGGTGATTATCAGCGTCAGGATACCTTGTTAATATACTGATGTTGGTTACTTAAGTTGTAAGATATTGGGTACCTGCTTGTAAAATGTTGGGTACTTTGATTGGGTACCTGCTTGTAAAATGTTGGGTACTTTGGTTGTAAGATATTGGGTACCTGCTTGTAAAATGTTGGGTACTTTGGTTGTAAGATATTGGGTACCTGCTTGTAAAATGTTGGGTACTTTGGTTGTAAGATTTTGGGTACCTGCTTGTAAAATGTTGCGTACTTTGGTTGTAAGATATTGGGTACCTGCTTGTAAAATGTTGGGTACTTTGGTTGTAAGATATTGGGCACCTGCTTCTAAAATGTTGGGTACTTTGATTGGGTACCTGCTTGTAAAATGTTGCTTACTTTGGTTGTAAGATATTGAGTACCTGCTTGTAAAATGTTGATTACTTAAGTTGTAAGATATTGGGTACCTGCTTGTAAAATGTTGGTTACTTAAGTTGTAAGATATTGGGTACCTGCTTGTAAAATGTTGGATACTTTGGTTGTAAGATTTTGGGTACCTAGATTAGACAAATGTGCTAGTGAGGTGTTGATTACTTTGATAGTAAACCACAGGGTACCATGGTAGTAACTTGTGTGGTACCTTGGTAGTAAGGTGTAGGGTACCTTGGTAGTAAGGTGTAGGGTACCTTTGTAGTAAAGTGTGTGGCACCTTAATATCAATGCGTAGCTGATCTTGGTAGTAGGGTGTAGGGTTCCCTGGTAGTAAAGTGTGTGGCACCTTTATATCAAGGTGTAGATGGCTTTGGTAGTAAGGTGAAGGGTGCCCTGGTAGTAATTTGTGTGGTACCTTGGTATTAAGGTGTAGGGGACCTTGGTAGTAAGGTGTAGGGGGCCTTGGTAGTTAGGTGTAGAGGGCCGTGGTAGTGAGGTGTAGGGGACCTTGGTATTAAGGTGTAGGGGACCTTGGTAGTAAGGTGAAGGGGACCTTGGTAGTAAGGTGTAGGGGACCTTGGTAGTAAGGTGAAGGGGACCTTGGTAGTAAGGTGTAGGGGACCTTGGTAGAAAGGTGTAGGGGACCTTGGTAGTAAGGTGTAGGGGACCTTGGTAGTAAGGTGTAGGGACCTTAGTAGGACCTTGGTAGTAAGGTGAAGGGGACCTTGGTAGTAAGGTGTAGGGGACCTTGTATAGTAAGGTGTAGGGGACCTTGGTAGTAAGGTGTAGGGGACCTTGGTAGTAAGGTGTAGGGGACCTTGGTAGTAAGGTGTAGGGGACCTTGGTAGTAAGGTGTAGGGGACCTTGGTAGTAAGGTGTAGGGGACCTTGGTAGTAAGGTGTAGGGGACCTTGGTAGTAAGGTGTAGGGGACCTTGGTAGTAAGGTGTAGGGGACCTTGGTAGTAAAAGGTGTAGGGGACCTTGGTAGTAAGGTGTAGGGGACCTTGGTAGTAAGGTGTAAGAAAGGTGAAGGGACCTTGGTATTAAGGTGTAGAAGGGAGGTGAAGGTGAAGTGGGTGTAGGGGACCTTGGTAGTTAAGGTGTAGAGGGGACCTTGGTATTAAGGTGTAGGGGGCCTTGGTATTAAGGTGTTGGTAGTAAGGTGTACCTTGGTAGTAAGGTGAAGGGGGACCTTGGTATTAAGGTGAAGGGGACCTTGGTATTAAGGTGTAGGGGACCTTGGTAGTAAGGTGAAGGGACCTTTGTATTAAGGTGAAGGGACCTTGGTATTAAGGTGTATTGGTAGAAAGGTGTAGGGGACCTTGGTAGTAAGGTGTAGGGGACCTTGGTAGAAAGGTGTAGGGGACCTTGGTAGTAAGGTGTAGGGGGACCTTGGTAGAAAAAGGTGTAGGGGGACCTTGGTAGTAAGGTGAAGGGGACCTTGGTAGTAAGGTGTAGGGGATCTTGGTAGTAAGGTGTAGGGGTGTAGACCTTGGTAAGGGTAGGGGACCTTGGTAGTTAAGGTGAAAGGTGGGGGACCTTGGTATTAAGGTGAAGGGGACCTTGGTATTAAGGTGTAAGGGACCTTGGTAGTAAGGTGTGGGGACCTTGGTGGGCCTTGGTATTAAAAGGTGAATGTAGGGACCTTGGTATTAAGGTGTATTAAGGTGAAGGGACCTTAGTAAAGGTGTAGAAGGGACCTTGGTAGAAAGGTGAAGGGGACCTTGTAGTAAGGTGTAGGGACCTAGGTGGGTGTAGGGACCTTGGTATTAAGGTGAATGGAGACCTTGGTAGTAAGGGGGACCTTGGTAGTTAAGGTGTAGGGGACCTTGGTAGAAACGTGTAGGGTACCTTGGTAGTGATGTGTTTGGTTCCTTGGCAGTAAAGTATCCTTGTTCTCTGTATCTACATGTTGTTCCACCCATGGACTTCCGTGTGTTAACACTTCCTCGTGTGTTCAACTATCTACATATTTCATCTAAGCAAGCTCGCCAAACATCTAGTAGGACAGAAACGTTTAACAATGTTCAGTCTGACACACACGTCGGAAGTGGGCACTGACGTTAGTATGTGCACATATTGATAGAAATGATTCCATCTTGTTACAGGAATGTGTTTACCAAATAAAGGTCTCCAGCGGACACACTTAGTGTCTATCTGTTTCTGATAAACCTGAAGAGATGTTGTAATGTCTTTGGACACTGTTACAATATTGTCACTTGCCAATGCTTTCTCACAGAATGAAAAAATACGCATACGAAAATATATTCCGTCATTCCGTTTGGTTTCTGCTCCCACAAACTTCATAATCATTTGATAAACTCGTTTTGGAGTCTTTTCACTTGCATCACAAGTTTGCCTTTAGTTAAACCCACCGTCAAGGTGTATGGTGCTGACAAACCAGGAATAAAAACTGGGATTCGAACCCAGAAGGTATATGTTTATAGCCGATTATACGACACCATTGTCCTAGCTTAAGACCGAGTTAACAGTAAAACAAATTTTATCAAAGTAACAAAATACAAGTAAACTTGAAACGTAAACAAGTAAACCTAACCACAATGACTACTTTAAATACTTTGAATACCTATATGCATCGTTACGTTGGATGAATTCATTGAGCATTTCCTGTGCTGAAAAAATCCACAATTGATCGGGAAAAAACAAAACTGCTCGGAACATCAGTGCTTCTCGATTTAACAGTTAACAAACTGTATTGACGCTCCAGGTCTGTTAAAGAAGCATAATGTATATAACTTGTGTCAATAATTTCTACTTTCAGTCCTTTGTTAATGTGGTTGACAACATCCTGTCTGTTGACACCAGTAAAGAGGACTGGCAGCAAGTTCAGAAAAGCGTGAGTATATCTTTTTTCATAGTGATAAATAAACAGGTGCTAATGATATAAGTATCGTCAACGATATAGTAATGGTAATGCTTACGAAAAGGGGATATCGTTTATTATAAGGAAGGGCCTCGTACAAACAACTCTTATTGGGAGTATCTCGTATGCACATTGAACACAGTGTCGCGTGAAAGTTGTGTAATGTAATAGCCACGTGAACGAGTGAAACTAGTGAATGCAGTTTCGCTATGGATCCCACCCATGCTGGCAGAGGTGACCTGTAGGAATAAAATGAGGGCTCTAGTAACATGAAGAACTTTTGTCGCTGTTGTATTATATCGACATCAAACATTCATTTGAATTCAGAAGCAGACCTCCGATGCAATATTGGTATATACATGTTATCCACGCGTATACTTTCCTTTGTTTTTGGACATATTCTCAAACTTAGAAACAAATTATATATAGGCCTAATATTAATGGAGCATACAAAATCCTTTTTCCTTGAAGAATGCAACAAAGGCGTCGTCTTTGATGAGAGCAGTGACGTCCTTTGGGTTGGCTGCTGCAGCATCACAGACGGTGAACGAACCTCTGACTATAAACAGTTCAACCATGGGTAGGTACTTTCTTGATGAATTCGATTTGCAACCATCAATACAACGACATTGAAATCCGAAGGCTGGGAATAACCGCAATGACTTTATATGAATGTTAAAGTTGTGTGTTGGTTGTGGGACATTAAGAATACATCGTCGTACAATTATTCTCAGATTAGCATGCATATTTTAAACTGTGGGTTCGAACAGTTGTCTGGATTTCCCAGTGAGCCAGTTGTAAGATAAATATTTCGTTTTTTAATGATTTATGTGATGTTCTGGTGAATGGATGAACTGAATTTCATTTGAACACAATGCTTTTTTGCTATACAAATGCATTTGAACATCAATATGAGGTCCTTTTCATATATGACTTGAATTCCCGGCTTTGTCGAAATTATTTCTGTGTCCCGTTGAAATACTTGAATGTTTACCAGTATATAACCTCTGATAAGTTGAATCGATTGTGTCGGAACTGTTGTTGTCTCGAATGTATGTTGTCCCAAATGTCAAATGCAAGTTCTAGTTTCCCTGATAAGTAATCACAATATCTACACTAGTATTGAGGCACCTAATCGCCAGCACAGAATGTCAACCGTCTGACTCACCCAGCCACCGCGGCTTCCACAGGGGCTTTTGTGTCCTGGGGATTAGGTGCCTGACTCTGAGGGTGTCGGTTCGAATTCCGGAAGGGACCATCAAAAGTACTAGATTCTGTAATTTCTGAGTAAGTGTAATCCCAAATATAACATGTATTACATTTGACCACTTTCTAAATGTCATTGTGTATTCTTTGTAAATGTTCTCCAATTATTTTGTTATTTCTTTTAAGTGATGGAAGTTGCGAAGGTTAAGAAACAAGACATCACATTTCCTACAGAAAACCTGGAGGGGGAGAAGAGTTCTTTAAGACTTTCTCAGGAAAACTATGATGCCGAAGGTAAGTAAATATTTTATGAATTGACCAAATTTCGAGGACATCTTCCAGGGAAGCTTCAGAGCTTGAGTGATATAAAGAGGCTACTGCAAGAATGTCTCTCAGATACCATTTTATCTTAGGCTGTCCGCACTTTGTGTTTTTTTCCTTCGTGAAATTTCATCCCTTCGTGAATTAATTAATAGGAATCCTATATCAATTTTCCCCGGCTGCTCGGGAAATGTCTGCCAACAGAACAATAATAGCCTTATCCTTGTTCGCACTAAGAAAACACCCAGGTTTGTTTGATCCTTCTTCATCGACATTTATCAAATAAGTTGTTTCTGAAGCAAACGTTTTGATCTACATCATACATAATTTAATGGCTACTACCAGTGATATTCAAAGACACAGATCGTGAAAACAGTTTTCTTACTTTTTCAATTGTACTTTTTCCGCTCGCCCGCGAGTTGTATGAAAACGTATCAGAGCTAAAGCAACACCAAGTCTTGACATTAAAGAATAACTTAACTCCATTATGAGCCTGTACCACAGAGGTAGTACAGAGGAGAATGCCATCGTTTTCATGTATTTTCCATATTGTACAATATATCCGCTATAATTCGTAAACAATCCTTGGGATGTATGAATACATTGTTTAACCTTACAAAAACAATGTTCAAATCCAAAACTGCAAATTGTCCAATGGCGGTGTCTGATGCTAAAAACTTATTGTTTACAATATTATTTCAGACAGCAGCGTTCGAGCGAGCACCATAATGAGGCTCGTGACATAGAATATATCTATTTGTACATGTTTCTAAAAATCTAAACATTTAAACGCGGAGCTAATTCTGAAGAAAGTTCGAACTGGACATTTTAAATAACCGATGCCTATTTCAGGGCACTAGATAATTACAATGTGACTTTGTGTGCATTTTGTTTCCCTGTTATATGTACAGGATTTGCTCATATCTACAGCATGCAGACATTATGCAGGATCTTACATCTCGCCAAACGGAAACATATTTACCAGGACGAGGAACATATGCATTTGACTGATATGGCTACATGACCAAAAGAGAAACAAGTGATAAAAAACACAGATGTGTCGAAGTTGATGTGATGTCGTGAATACTTCGAGTAAACCAATGTTGGACACAAGTTAATAGACAGTGAGTTTTGTCTGTGACAACGACATAACTATATCACAGTTAGAAATTCTGTCAACGCTAAATAATGACATTGCTTTTAAGTATGGAACTGAGAAAGTGACTCGGTAAGAAAAACGTGTGGTGAAATAGACAAATGAAATTAAATAAACAGTTAAATCGGTAATCTACTGTAATAACATATAAAAAGCTCGCGCCTGTGAAATATCAACAAAACAGTAGAAAAATAGCTCACACCAAAGCCTTCACCGAATATTCACCGGACAACCCGCTTCCAAGCTCCGCGAACCTATTTCACTGCGCGGGGCGGTGGGGTAGCCTAGTGGTTAAAGCGCTGGCTCGTCACGCCGAAGACCCGGGTTCGAATCCCCACATGGGTACAATGTGTGAAGCCCATTTCTGGTGTCCCCTGCCGTGATGTTGCTGGAATATTGCTAAAAGCGGCGTAAAACCAAACTCAGTCAGGCAGTATTTCACTGCGCATGTGCTATGAGCGCAGCCCAGCTGTTGAAACCACTTCAAATCCCCCAAGCGCTCGGGGAAAGTTTGTGAATCGTTTGAACTGCGATTTCGCGCGGGTTTTTTCATCGAGTTATTTTTCAACTTTATAAGTTGAATTTGCATGTTTGATGATGTGTTTCGTTAAGTCCATACGGAAAGGTATCAGAATCTGCAAAGTTGTGTTTTACGTTGCATGTGACCTTTAAGCTTTTACTTCGACACAACCGTAGACATTACTTAATAGTCAATATGCATGGATTAAGCTTTCACTTCGAGTTAACCAATGTTCAACAGAACCGTAGACATTACTTAATAGTCAATATGCATGGATTAAGCTTCACTTCAAATAAACCAATGTTCGACACAACCGTAGACATTACTTAATAGTCAATATGCATGGGTTAAGCTTTTACTTCGAGTAAACCAATGTTCGACACAACCGTAGACATTACTTTATAGTCAGTAGGCATGGATTAAGCTTTTACTTCAAGACAACAGTAATTTCGTCACATTTATCTCTCTGTGACTAGTCAACAAAATATCTGTCGATCAAAATCACTTCAAAATTATGTTTACATTATATACATGTTCATTAAAATAATACAGATGCAAATAAATCCATGTGACTTTTTAAAAAAACAACCCAATCTTTCGACTCATAGAAATAAATTTACAGAATGCACCTCGTTCAAATAACGTACCCTCGTCCTAACGTTTCATCACATGTTTCATATGAAATTTAATATGGATTTTGGCCTATAAAAGTTTTATCCTATTACCTTCAATAGAGGGTGTTAATTGTTCATTTTCAGAAAACGTCGCATACGTTGCAGCCTATTACGGAACAATGGACCGGTTTCTACAGAGAAATAACTCCGGGTAACTTAGATCTCAAATTACAAGTGTGCATGTACTCAAACACTACATAATGTTTCCATTTCATGACAGAGGATAGACAAGATACAACAGTTAAGTTAGACCAGCACACACACACACACACTCTCTCTCTCTCTCTCTCTCTCTCTCTCTCTCTCTCTCTCTCTCTCTCTCTCTCTCTCTCTCTCTCTCTCTCTCTCTCTCTCTCTCTCTCTCTCTCTCTCTCTCTCTCTCATGTGTATGTCATGCTGATGAATTGTGAGATGATAGAGGCCTAGGGCTGGATATCCAGTGTGAAACTATACTCTTCACAGACCGCTGATGTAATGTGAGATGATAGAGGCCTAGGCTGGATATCCAGGGTGAAACTATGATCTTCACAGACCGCTGATGTAATGTCATGACAGAGGCCTAGGCTGGATATCCAGGGTGAAACTATGATCTTCACAGACCGCTGATGTAATGTGAGATGATAGAGGCCTAGGCTGGATATCCAGGGTGAAACTATGATCTTCACAGACCGCTGATGTAATGTGAGATGATAGAGGCCTAGGCTGGATATCCAGGGTGAAACTATGATCTTCACAGACCGCTGATGTAATGTGAGATGATAGAGGCCTAGGCTGGATATCCAGGGTGAAACTATGATCTTCACAGACCGCTGATGTAATGTGAGATGATAGAGGCCACCATAGGCTGGATATCCAGGGTGAAACTATGATCTTCACAGACCGCTGATGTAATGTGAGATGATAGAGGCCTAGGTTGGATATCCAGGGTGAAACTATGATCTTCACAGATCGCTGATGTAATGTGAGATGATAGAGGCCTAGGCTGGATATCCAGGGTGAAACTATGATCTTCACAGACCGCTGATGTAATGTGAGATGATAGAGGCCTAGGCTGGATATCCAGGGTGAAACTATGATCTTCACATACCGTTGATGTAATATCAGATGGTAAAGACATTGGCTTGCCCACTTACATAGTCCAAATAGGTATGATTCCGGCCATTTCGTGCATGTGTGTGTGCTGGTTGCCACCAGTCGGGCAGAATATCTCATCTTTTCTCCAAACCCTGGTAGTCATCTATAATCTCATGCCCAGGATAAAGTCGGAATCGTTAAACTGTGCTTTTGACAAATATTACTTTTGCATGTGAAAAATATTTCGGTATTCGCGTTTGTTTCAAAGTTGTAAAATCTGGCTTTTGGCCTATAAAAAATATCCCGTTACCTTCATATGAGCTTTTTGGGTTCATTTTCAGAAAATGTCACTTACGTTGCAGCCTATTACAACACTATGGCAGAGTTTCTACAGAGAAGTAACTCCGGGTAACCTAGATCTCATATTAAATGTGTGCATGTACATTCTACATTCTGTTTCCATTTTCATGACCGATGATAGACAAGATACACCACTTAAGTCTGACCAGTACTTGACATAGCTCTATCTTCACATAGAAATCTACACGCAAAAGACAATGAAGTGCTACACAGTTAACAGTTTTACTATGAAGGATGAGATGATTCACAGTTAACAGTTTTACTATGAAAGATGAGATGATAGAGGCCAAGGCTGGATATTCAGGGTGAAACTATGATCTTCGCAGACCGCTGATGTAATGTGAGATGATAGAGGCCTAGGCTTAATATCCAGGGTGAAACTATGATCTTCACAGACCGCTGATGTAATGTGAGATGATAGAGGCCTTGGCTGGATATCCAGGGTGAAACTATGATCTTCACAGACCGCTGATGTAATGTGAGATGATAGAGGCCTAGGCTGGATATCCACGGTGAAACTATGATCTTCACAGACTCGCTGATGTAATGTGAGATGATAGAGGCCTAGGCTAGAGGCCTAGGATATCCAGGGTGAAACTATGATCTTCACAGACCGCTGATGTAATGTGAGATGATAGAGGCCTAGGCTGGATATCCAGGGTGAAACTATGATCTTCACAGACCGCTGATGTAATGTGAGATGATAGAGGCCTAGGCTGGATATCCAGGGTGAAACTATGATCTTCACAGACCGCTGATGTAATGTGAGATGATAGAGGCCTAGGCTGGATATCCAGGGTGAAACTATGATCTTCACAGACCGCTGATGTAATGTGAGATGATAGAGGCCTAGGCTGGATATCCAGGGTGAAACTATGATCTTCACAGACCGCTGATGTAATGTGAGATGATAGAGGCCTAGGCTGGATATCCAGGGTGAAACTATGATCTTCACAGACCGCTGATGTAATGTGAGATGATAGAGGCCTAGGCTGGATATCCAGGGTGAAACTATGATCTTCACAGACCGCTGATGTAATGTGAGATGATAGAGGCCTAATGTATCCAGAATGATAGAGTGAGATGATAGAGGCCTATACAAACTATGATCTTCACAGACCGCTGATGTAATGTGAGATGATAGAGGCCTAGGCTGGATATCCAGGGTGAAACTATGATCTTCACAGACCGCTGATGTAATGTGAGATGATAGAGGCCTAGGCTGGATATCCAGGGTGAAACTATGATCTTCACAGACCGCTGATGTAATGTGAGATGATAGAGGCCTAGGCTGGATATCCAGGGTGAAACTATGATATTTACAGACCTGTGGCCTAGAAGTATTCTGATGTACATGGAATGTTGATAGAGGCCTAGATAGTAATACTTCTTGGAGTATTAATTATTGTGAAAAAATGTGTAGCAATACATTACACTACCATGTAAAAGTCATCTCACCAAAACATGTTTTTTGTTCACATTAGAGATGACAAGTCAACACAGAAAGAAACACGATCTCAGATTCTATCACTTGCTGTCCACGCTGGCGGTAAACGACTTGCAGAGCTTAACATGGATGTAACGCTTAATTTCTACCATGGACAGGTGAGTGATATATTTTACATTGTGTACATGGATGGCCTGCTTCATTCTGACTTTGGCTAGTCTCTGCTAGGCATACTATCAGTGTTCTGTGCCACCACGTCTTCGCCGTGACGAGCGAACTCTTTAACAGCTTAACCCCATCGTGTAATATCTATTATTGAATTGATATCGGTCGTGTCTTAATGAGGACGGGGGGGTGGGGGTGGTTAGAGCGTTCGATCGTCACACCGAAAATCCGGGTTCGATTGCCCACATTGGTATAATGTGTGAAGGCCATTTCTGGTGTCCCCCGCCCTGATATTGCTGGAATATTGCTAAAACGGAGTAAAAGCATATCCGCTCACTCTTTAATGGTTGAGCTTATCGTTCCTCCAGAGTTTGACTCCCAGCATGGTTAGACTGGATGAGATCATTTCGGCGGTGCCTCGCCATCATATTCTTTGATACTGTTAAAATCGTCATGAACCCAGTCTTCAAGTGTTTTATTCCAAGGAAAAATATAACGTTTACTCATAACGTCAAAATCGATGTTCCATTATGGTACAAGGCGGTTCCTTACGTTGTCTAATATCGAAACATCTTTTAGCTGGAACAACTGGTTTGTTGCCAAGGTTGATTAAAATTCAGTGTATTTGTATTTGGTTGACCAATGTATTGGGTGTGTATTTTTTCTTTAATACTATTTTCAGGTCGACAATGCAGAACTAGAATGCGGATATTGGAACTTTAATAAAGGGTAAAAAATTCATTTGTTCTTTAAAAGTCGCCAGTCTCCTCCTCATAGTTTCAAATACACTGAAGATGAAAAGAAACAGTACTGTTCCTTCACCTTTCAGTTCGTATAGTCAAATGTTGGATTTACAGTGCCAGATATTAAATTAAAGATGTTTATCCAGGCAAGTCACCCCTCAAAAACTACGGCAACAGATATAATTCCAAAAATATAATTTACACAAGCTGGATAAGATGACAAGCTTAAGCCAATCTGCAAGCCTGGCCACCCGATCCCTCTTGCAACAAGGGTGGGTCGCTGAAGGCCAGTTCTAACTCGTATCTTCACGGATATCATTTAAAATCAACTGAAATGGGGATTCGTCTCCCCGGGGAGGGGAATGCGGGTGTTTCCCGGCTGGTACTTATTGTTACCGAGCCTGACACTCTGCGTTACTGGGATAGAACGAGGACTGGTCTACTCGGAGTCATTTTAAAGTGTTTGAGCATCCATGTTTAGCTGCCACATGGTATCTGAATGGTCCAGCATTAAGGAACCGGGGATAGTTCTGACTAAGGTGAAAACACAAACACACACACGCGTATGGCAAGCTATTTTCTCATTTATTTCGAAATCACTGATATTTAGAAAGCTGTTTTAGAGATACCTCGTATTAAATTGAAGATATTTTGAATTGAATTAAAGAATCTTCAACGAATTTTGTAGAATATATAGTGCGTTTGTATGAAAGTATAAAAATGCGTTGGTGCATAATTATATAAAATATATTTCAGGATTATCCTAAAGACATTTCAGATATCCTGAAATACAATACAGATATATCTAAAGCTATTGAAGATATAAGTAATTCTTTAATAGATGTGTAAACACCTTGCCATACGCGACCGTTCTAGAAGTGCAATAAACCTTATCGCCATGTTTAAACCTTCTGATAATCGGGAGAGCCATGAACCAAGCAACAACAAAAATAGATCCCCCAATGCCCACATGTGATTGGAGTGATGTTTTGTGTTTCAGTTCCTGGAGGACGGATGGGTGCAAGAGAAGTCACATAAACAGTTCCTTCTCAAGATGTGATTGTGATCACTTGACCAACTTCGCTATTCTGATGAGTCCAACACGAGTCGTGGTAAAACGATCACTCTTACATATAACTCACTGTTAATATTTGATATTATTTTACGCCGCAGTCTAAGGTATTACATTTTTGGCAGATAATCGGTTTACCGGCGCCTCTCAATACGTACTTCTGGAAAAGACTTAATAATTAGAATAATTATTTATGACACCCGAAATTATGTCCTCAATCAAACGTGAAACGCTATGCGACATGTAAGGGTTCGAATCCCAGCAAAGTATTCAGAGATGACAAAACCCATGTAATATTCACTATCATGTGATTTGTCCCCACTTTGTAAACATTGTGTAACGTCACAGTAGTTTTATGAAACTATAATAGAACGAAAGTGACTTCAGTTATCAAATGAGTTGAACAAAATACAGCTAGAAACATCAAATAGGGGTCAACACTACTAGAAGACCAACCATAAAGACACTATAAATATAATTATTTGACATTCCCAGTCTGACGAAAACCTGCGACTCCTGAAGATCATCTCCATAGTGGGCTGTTCCTTGTCTATCCTGGGCTGCTTGGTGACAGTACTGACACACGCGTGTTTGTGGAGGTAGGGGCGCTGTGTTCCAGTATATTATAGGGAGTAACAGAAAGTATATGTGTGCTTTATACAACTAAAAATTCAGAAACTGTTGTAAGGTATAATTATGCGTATTCAACCGTCACATATAACAGGTTGTAAAAAGGTAATTTTGGTGGGGTCATATTTTGTAAAAATATACTGGTCCAGTGACGACTGTAGATCGAAATGAATTTTGCCGCGAAATTATATTGTTTTAATTTTAAAGCATCAATAGTTGGGTATTACCCGAAAATATTTTTAAACCAATTATGTTAAGAAGATGAAGACCATGCAGAAATATTCTTTGCGGGAGTACAGGTATTTCTTTGACATAACCAGCCAACTTATGACAGAGATGGCAGCTACTCCCTTAACACAACCCTACGTCAACATACTGTTACTACAAGACACCACGTTCTGGCAGACCTTGATCTACCACTGACAGAGATGACAGCTACTTCCTTAACACGACCCTACGTCAACATACTGTCACTGCAAGACACAACGTTCTGGCAGACCATGATCTACCACTGACAGAGATGACAGCTACTTCCTTAACACGACCCTACGTCAACATACTGTTACTGCAAGACACCACACAGACCTTTCCACTGACAGACAGACCATGACCACTGTTACAGAGATCTACAGACCATGATCACTGACAGAGATGACAGCTACTTCCTTAACACGACCCTACGTCAACATACTGTTACTGCAAGACACAACGTTCTGGCAGACCATGATCTACCACTGACAGAGATGACAGCTACTTCCTTAACACGACCCTACGTCAACATACTGTTGCTGCAAGACACAACATTCTAGCAGACCATGATCTACCACTGACAGAGATGACAGCTACTTCCTTAACACGACCCTACGTCAAGAAACTGTTACTGCAAGACACAACGTTCTGGCAGACCAGACACTGACATGATCTACCACTGACAGAGATGACAGCTACTTCCTTAACACGACCCTACGTCAACATACTGTTACTGCAAGACACAACGTTCTGGCAGACCTTGATCTACCACTGACAGAGATGACAGCTACTTCCTTAACACGACCCTACGTCAACATACTGTTACTGCAAGACACAACGTTCTGGCAGACCTTGATCTACCACTGACAGAGATGACAGCTACTTCCTTAACACGACCCTACGTCAACATACTGTTACTACAGGACACCACGTTATGGCAGACCTTGATCTACCACTGACAGAGATGACAGCTACTTCCTTAACACGACCCTACGTCAACATACTGTTACTGCAAGACACCACGTTCTGGCAGACCTTGATCTACCACTGACAGAGATGACAGCTACTTCCTTAACACGACCCTACGTCAACATACTGTTACTGCAAGACACCACGTTCTGGCAGACCTTGATCTACCACTGACAGAGATGACAGCTACTTCCTTAACACGACCCTACGTCAACATACTGTTACTGCAAGACACAACGTTCTGGCAGACCTTGATCTACCACTGACAGAGATGACAGCTACTTCCTTAACACGACCCTACGTCAACATACTGTTACTGCAAGACACAACGTTCTGGCAGACCTTGATCTACCACTGACAGAGATGACAGCTACTTCCTTAACACGACCCTACGTCAACATGATGTTACTGCAAGACACAACGTTCTGGCAGACCTTGATCTACCACTGACAGAGATGACAGCTACTTCCTTAACACGACCCTACGTCAACCCTACGGGAACATGACAGAGACTGACAGCTACAGGAACAACACTACTGTTTACAAGACAGACCATGATCTACCACCACTGACAGAGATGACAGCTACTTCCTTAACACGACCCTACGTCAACATACTGTTACTACAAGACACAACGTTCTGGCAGACCTTGATCTACCACTGACAGAGATGACAGCTACTTCCTTAACACGACCCTACGTCAACATACTGTTACTACAAGACACAACGTTCTGGCAGACCTTGATCTACCACTGACAGAGATGACAGCTACTTCCTTAACACGACCCTACATCAACATACTGTTACTACAAGACACAACGTTCTGGCAGACCTTGATCTACCACTGACAGAGATGACAGCTACTTCCTTAACACGACCCTTCATCAACATACTGTTACTACAAGACACCACGTTCTGGCAGACCTTGACACCACTGACACAACATTCTGGCAGACACTTTCTGACAGACCATGATCTACCACTGACAGAGATGACAGCAACTTCCTTAACACGACCCTACGTCAACATACTGTTACTGCAAGACCATAGTCCTGTCAGTGATGAAGACTACAGTTCCTCTGTTTCTAGTATACCTTGAAGTGCCTAATAAATTCAAATATGTTACCATTAGAGTAAGTTAGTCTTATGCACGTATGTCTCATCGCGAAGATAAATACCGGCATATAGAGGTACATAAGTTCATTACCTCATCCTCTCAATCACTTCATTATACAGGAGTGTTCGCTCTACTAAGTCCGTCATCCTGGTGAACCTTTGTATGGCGTTGACCTTGGCCTACAGCGTCTTCCTGGCTGGCGTGGAGAGAACGGAAAACAAGGTAACGTTGTAACACAAATAGCGGTCATACCGGTATTGATGTTATGTAGTCTTTGTCATGGAAAGAGACACAGGTTATATTGGCACTCACGTGTACCTGACTAAACCCGAACTAAAATATATTATCCTTATTATAATCATTATTTTAAATTTGTGAAATTTTCAGTAGGTTTTCACAAGTGTTATCATGAAATATTGTCTTGTCTTTCTTCCCCTCTGCTTCCAGGCCGTGTGTACTGCAGTGGCGGCCATTTTGCACTACTTGTTCCTGGCCATCTTCTGTCTGATGTTTGCCCAGGGGATCGACATGGCCAGACAGGTAGTAACTGTGTCAAGGAGGAGTTCAAGACTGGAGGTTGTCCTCGCTCTATCCTGGGGTAATAAAACCTTGATTACCAAGTGTATTATTACATCTTTGTTGTATCATGATAAAACACGCGAACCCACTCGCTACAAAGGATTCATTTAATATGGGAGTGACGTCATGAGTTGAATCCGATTTGAGTTACCTCCCAAGGACAGTCTTCCAATCAACTTACTCTCATGTGCAGAGAATTTGTATGGGAAGGAATTCCACAGTTTGGTGGGTGTACGTCAGGTTTTTATGAGGATTTTGTAATGAGTGTCTTTCGCGTTTAATTAAGTCGGGAAGACTTATAAAACAAAGTATAGTCACCTGGTTCTTTCACAAAAACATGAATCACAAAAACTGTGAAAAACAACAACAGTGTTTGACATTTCTGAATGTTCTTTTCTTTATTAATAAAACTTATTTCAGTGTTTCGTGTTAATATTTCTTTCGCTGCCAAATATCATGACATTGTTTGTATTATCGAAACATTATTTTCCGTTAAAAAACTATACGTTATGCATTACCGTAAAGGTCTTCAAACAGACTGAGAGTGCCATGATAGAACATTAGTGGATCTGGGGTAGTTGTCCTGATGGCTTGGAGACGACATTTGCTGTTTAACAGAAAATGGGTGTAATCGTGTCTTCAAAGCAGACAACATCACTGAAAAACGAATCTCGAGCAGTTCATCCGTAATAGCTTTGAGGAATAAAACCCCTATTTAGACATTGTGACAATAGTTTCTTTGAGTGATAGACTCAACTTCACGGCACACAAATAGAAACGTGTGACTTTACTAGATGGTTCATCAGCCCCAGCGTAAAGTCAAACCGGATTATTGACAGCCACCGCCATGTAGCTGGATTATTGCGGTGTTAAATAACAAGCAAACAACAACCCGATGGTAATCAATGGATTGTTTGTTGTTCAAAGCCACACTCAACAATATCACAGTTATATGTCGTCAGTCTGTAAATAATCGAATCTGGGTCAGACAATCCACAGATTAACAACATGAACATGGTTCTACGCAATTAGGATACGATGACATGTGTCAACCACGTCTGCAAGCCTGACCACCCGATCCCGGCAGTCGACTCTTACATGCCTGGTTCGCTCAAGACCATTTCTAATCCGAATCTTCACTGGTACCATCCGGTTTGACTTTATTCTGGGGCCGATGAACCATCCAGTTAAGTGACCTTGAAAGTGTTCTCTTATGAGAAGCATGGGTTGCTGAAGACCATTTCTAACCCGGATATTCACGGGTCAAGACAGGTCAGCATCATCTCAGCCTTTCCATCCACGTAGTACTGACTTCCCCGACATGGCTTAAACGAGCTTCAATCAGTGTACAAAACAAGTCTTTTAATCACTAATTGTTTTGTCTGTCGTCCCAACAGGTGTGCCGGCAGTTATAGTCGGTATTACCCTGGGGGCCACCAAGCTGGAGGGATACGGAAATGACCAGTTGTAAGTAGGACTAGCACACATAAACATATTTCACTCTTTCAAACGTACGTCTGAACTGATACATGGCACTGTGAAATGAGTGAAACGTCATGTTGTTAGTAAGAATACTTCAAGAAGATTTTTTCTTTAAAACTGTGTGACAGAAGAAATTGATTTGTATGTAACAATATTGCACTCTCAGTGCAAATGTAAAGCATTCTTTCAATGTTATTTGCATCTACAATTTAATTTGAAAATGATTATGGTATAAAGCTGTTGTGACACATGTTGTAAGTGTTCAATATGTGGTTGTGTTGTTTCAGCTGCTGGTTGACGGTGGAGGATGGGGTTCTGTACGCCCTTGTTGGACCAGCCCTCTTCGTCATACTTGTAATGTCATCAAAATGCGAAATATATCAAACACAAATGAAACTGTGCAAATGTTGTTCCTTGTCATGATGTTTTTGACAAACAGAATAACTCGCATTACTGAATTACTTAAACCCGATATTGTTCTAGAATTCAAATCTGATTTTCAACATGGCCTTTACAGTAGCCATATTGAATTCATGCACACACACACATATTTTTTAAAAAGGAAAGGAATATTGAACTTGTGTGGTTAATAGTGAGTTCAACATATTTGTTCAGGGATTTTTCCGTTTAATTTTCCGATATTTTTTATTTTGACCTGTGTAAAAGAATTGTCGCGATAATTGGTACATGACGTGTATTTGATCTTTACGACCTGACAATGCTCCAAAATTATCTCAATTATCTATTTTGTTCTGAGATTGAATACTTATGTTTCTTTTTTGAATGTGAAATGTACACCTGTGAATATGAAACCTAATATGGTTGTACAAGAATACAAGTTACTGTTTTCCAGAAGTAATAGTAAATGGTACATGTAGTCTCCAGAGGCAGAGAGGCTGTCTTGGTAACTGTAGTAGTTCACAGTGCTGTGGTAGGTAATATGTCGTGGAGATGAGGCTATTTCGACCACTAATTTCTGTCCACTAACTGTCCGAACATTGTCCCTTCACACAGGCTAACACCGTGATCATCGTCGTCATCATGCGGGTGCTGTTTTCCACCAAAATGATGATCAGAAAAGGAAATAGAGAGAAATTCATGTAAGTGTATTTGCTGCATGATGTCACCAATACAGCCATTCTAATGTCTTTTACCATCAAAGGCATGTCCCGATGTTATCAATGTTAGGTACACTCCGGCGAGTTAGAGTTACCAAATCCCCTTCCGGATTGTTTGGACGGGTATTACATGACGTCATATGGCTCACATTCATGTCACAGCAAGTTGAGACGATTATATATAGAAGCACAGTAAACTAGTTATAACGAACTCAAAGGGACCACAAAGTATATTTCGTGTTATGCTTTTCGATTGTAATATACAGGATGTGGTCAGTTCGTTATATCCGTCAGTTCGTTACAAACATGTTCGTTATAAAATTTATAGATATTCCGCGAAATGATGACAACTTATTGATCACATAATTGCCCTCATGAACTCTTCCAACAAGACAAAGCTAGACTGTATAATATCGAGATAAGGGGTAGATTTTCCCAAAGTATGAGGCACAGGGTAACCAAACAGCACTTGAAGTTTGCAGATCATTCAACACGTTCACTTTCACTTTGACACCATTGTACGAATTATGTTTTAATGGGAACAGATTATTATTTATAAAAGAACACCTAGTCTGATCCTTCAACAATCTCCTCTTTCTAGTGTCCCCTGCTGTGCATTCTTTTCCACAGAGGTTACTCCTGTCATATCTTCCTACGTAACCTCTTTTTCTAATACGGCCCTTTCATGGTGTTAGCGTTCAAGACTCGTGATTGGAGGCAATCAGATTTAGTTGTGCAATCAGCGACGTTGTTTCTAAAGTGATCATTCGCAAGGCCTCGGTAATTTCCGTATACTTCGAGAAAACTAAACCTCTTCCCCTGCGCGATGCGCAAACGTTTCTTCTAGACAGAACTCAGTCATGTTATGGCGGATCAGTGGCGTCTCCATCGCCCTTGTTGACAACGGACAAGCTAGCCATTAAACGTCTTGTGTGTAACATCAACACAAGTCCCCGACAGATGGGGATATTTGTGGCCTCACATTTGCTTGTGTTGGACAAGTTGAATCTAAGTCGATGTAACACGTGTTCTGATTGGATAGAAAGAAGGGAGATAATTCGTGTTGCGATCATTTGCCGCTAGGGATTTTACGAGAACCAGGAAATATGGCCGTATTAGAACAGAGGTTCGTAGGAAGATATGACAAGTAACCTCTGTGGGAAGAGAATGCCTGCTGTGATATTACTGGAATATTGCTAAAAGCGGTGTAAAACCACACTCACTCATCCACTCACTCAGCACTTTACTATTGCTACTTTATAAGGAGAGGATTATGACGACGTCTTTTTTGTTGGCCAGCAGTACTGTTAAAGTTTTCAGGAACATTGTCTACTAGTGCAGCAGTGGCTCATCGAAACATGCCATTCCACTCTGCCACTTATACATGGACACATCTCGTGAAGTCTCGTTCTTTTTAGGGCTGGGACGGGTATTCGAATCCGGGTCGGGTACAGCTGGAATCGAGTCCTATTTCTTGGAATCGAGTACCCGGAAAGGGAAAGGCAGATAATAACTTGTCTTTTTCATAATTGACGTAACACACATTTACATCATTGGTATTGTCCGATTAATGAAGGTTATTCTTAACGACTGTAATTTATCTGCACAGTGAGTGAAAGTTTCAGTAACAGCGGATACGAAAGGTTCTGTGTTTTAACGATGAATGTAAATAATGGTGTTACTCTCTATATTGGTTAAACAGACGTAAATTAAATAGCCTAAGATCTGTTTTAATGTCTTATTGCCATCTTTTCGAGTTTTCTATAATAATCTCTGTCAACTCGTGATTCAGAAAGTTGACAGAAGCGCTGTATTCCTTACGTTTCCGGGTACTCGATTCCGATTCGGGTAAGCACATGCGGGTACTCGATTCCATTTTTCCCACCCGTCCCAGCCCTATTTTGTTTCTTTCAGGGTCAGTTTTCGGAGCCTCTGTGTTCTGATGCCTGTTCTCGGAGTCACGTGGGTGTTTGGTATTCTGGCATTCAACGAAGACACAGTCGTCTTTCAATACCTCTTTGCCATCTTCAATTCGTTGCAGGTAACGACTCTTAAGTCAATAGGTATGAAAATGGAAACATGCGAAAAATATAATTCATTCATGGCATGCATATTCAGAAAAGAAACTCCTGTTGAACTACTGTAAACGACAGGCCGCGGCGTTTGACATTTGAATGTATCATATTAAAAGTCAAGTTCAATGATTACATGATACGTGAGAAATGTGAGTGTCCATGTCACTGGTTGATATGATAAACTTTGGCCAGGGTCACAAGTATTACAAAAAGTATTAGGCAAAATGTGCAAAAAGTATGTCAAGGTCACTGGTTAGATACGCAAGTTGTAACTTTGGCCAGGGTCACAAGTATTCCAGAATATTCGTTTCAGTTTATAAGAAAGAGCACAAGTGCAATCGTAAATCATAAACTACGAACACCAAGTTTCTATTTCGATAGGCAGGGTTTTGGAAACCGGAAACGGTTTTCACAACACCGGAAGTACTTGAACTAAACATGAACTAGATCGAAACATACTCTCTTTTCCCAGGTGAAGGTTATACAAACTTTGTGTTTGATCCATTGCATTATTTTATTTATTTGTGTTTAACGATACATGATTTGTTTGAGTGGCATTCTAGAAGTTGGTGGTGTGGAGATGACAAGACCTTATGGATGTTCAACTTCTGTATTTTAACAATGGCGACGTTTCGGTATAGATTCTTATACCGTTTTCAAGCATATGGGGGAATGAAGGGGTACACCAGTTTATATACTAGATAAGATAAAGAGATAACAATAACAAGGGTGGAAAACAAAGCATCAAAGAAAGTTATATGATGAGCTACAATAGCATGATGATAACATAAAATGTTAAATAAACAATGCTCTATTTATCAAGCATATTAGTTTTTTCTATGTATAATCTGAATCAATGTAAAATGTGTCTACACAATTAAATCAAACTTCTGATGTTCCAGGGTTTCCTGATTTTCGTGATGCACTGCATTTTTAACACTAAGGTGGGTCACTTCAACATGAAATATGGGCTATGGGGTAGCCTATTGGTTAAAATGTTCACTCGTCGCACTGAAGATTCCCCTCACTTATTCAATGTGTGAGGCTCATTCCTGGTGTACCTCGTTACCCTGGCATCCTTTTCCATGATGGCAGCACTTCCGGTTTGGGGAAGACCGTGACTGGATGCGTAGCCATCTTGGAAAAAGACGCTAGGGTAAAGAGGTACACCTCCAGCAGTGTTCAGCAGCCTCTAGGACCTGCATCACCGTGGGTTTCCTCCTTCCGTACCCTGATGTAACGAAAACACTTTTTAAGGCCACTTTTCACCCTGCTCACGAACTCAAAACATGGTAAATGCATCAGCCTCGGGACCACACGCTCTCCCACCGTTACAGCCCCGGGTGATCGGGTGGTGATATGTTTCACTTTTGTATTGGATGGTGCAGATGGCTGCCAGTCGTCGTGAACATAGTTTACATTATATGTTATTGTTCACAATGGCAGCAGCAACCAAGATCCACTCAACCTTGTGCAGCGTTGACCCAAAGGCCACCTAAATCTACTTGCAGAGTTATGGCCCTTATGTTACTGGGATCTGTGGTATAGAATCCTGAATTCATCCAAATCATATTCCTAGGATATTTATAGCAACAGCTCTGTGTTGAAGACTCTATCTCAGTCTTCAATCACTCTCACTAATTCTTGGCAAATGTTTTTCTCCTGACGTAATAAAATTATGATTTGTAATGAATTTCCACATATGAAATTGTAAGCTTTATCTTTCAGATTCGTGATGGATTGAGAACGGTATTGCGGCGCTACTTATCCCAGATATATGAGTCCTTTGAGGTAGGCAGACTGGTTTGACAGTACTCTCAGTAATGTGTAGTACAGTATTTTAATGGTAAAGGTTTTAATTAGTTTATTCGCAATTGGCACAGTATGTCGCTCTTCACTGCTACATATCAATTTCAAGCTTTGTTGTAAAAAGCGCCCGCTTGTCACTCCGAAGAACCGGGTTCGATTCCTCTTGGGTACAATGTGTGAATCCGATATTTGATGTCCCCGCCACGTTATTGCTGGAATATTGCAAGAAGCAGCGTAATACCTTACCCATTCACTCACTCCAAAGCCATGCCATGTCAGAGATATCTTTGATTATAACCTTTCTTTGTCAGCTAAACATTTTTCTTAGTGAAAGTGGGGCGGTGGGGTAGCCTAATGGTTAAAGCGTTGGCTCGTCACGCCGAAGACCCGGGTTCGAATCCCCACATGGGTACAATGTGTGAAGCCCATTTCTGGTGTCCCCCGCCGTGATGTTGCTGGAATATTGCTAAAAGCGGCGTAAAACCAAACTCAGTCAGTCAGTCTTCGTGAAAGTGATCATGCCCGTGAGGAAAGACAATCTAGATCTGCCTCGAGTGGAGTGGAGTGGAGGGAGTGGAGGGGAGGGGAGTGTTTCATACCCTGGACGTGTCATACCAAAGGGCCGTTATAAGATGGTAAATACTTGTTGTTGCCCTGCCTGCCTCTAGGCATTAAAGTGTAAAATAAGGACCGGTGGGCCTGAGTCCAGTATTTTGTGTCCGAGTGGCAGATTCATGTTAAACCACGGCATGCCCAGTTGGCTAGCACAAAGAAACGGGAATCAGTTAAGAAAGAGTGAGGGAGTGAGTTAAGTTTTACGCCGCAATCAGCAATATTCCAGCTATATGGCGGTCTGTAAATAATCGATTCTGGACCGGACAATCAAGTGATCAACAGCATGAGCATCGATCTGCCTAATTGGGAACCGATGACATGTGTCAAACAAGTCAGCGAGCTTGACTATCCCGTTAGTCGCCTCTTACGACAAGCATAGTCGCCTTTTGTGGCAAGCATGGGTTGTTGAAGACCTATTCTACCCCAGATCTTCACAGGTTAGTCAAGAAAGACTTGGTAAAAGCAGCCACACAGGCGCTAATAATTCGGGAGAATGTTTAAACCCCTTTCACCTTACCTTTCAGAGCAAGGACAGGAGTAAACCAACAAGGTCCGATAAAACGTCAGGTGAGATTAAAGTTACACACCTTACCGTTAAAAATGGAGTGCATCACGAAAAACAGGAAACCCTGGAACAGCAGATGTTCGATTTAATTGTGCAGTTTACATTTTACATATATTTGATAAAAAGAGCATTGTTCATTTACATGTAAGACTTAATGCAGGCAAATATATGGAATTCAATTCACTCCACCTACACACCCAGGCCCCCCCACCCCCCACCCACTCGCAACCGCGAGAGATGGGGGGGGGGGGAGAGACACACAAAAAACTCAACTCAAACACACACGGAGACAAAAACACACACACAAAAACACACAGACAAAAAACAACAACCCAAATACGCACAAGCGACAACCATACCTAACTGTGATCAATTCCCGGTCTACCATGGGATCCTCAATAGTAAAGAGCATGAGTTTGGTGTAACCCCTCTCTGCCACCTCGGCTTTGTGTCTGAGCCTTGCTCTGTGATGCCCGACAGTCCTCAGGGATACAATCGGTCGAGCGAACATTTAACATGGCAGCTGTAAGCTAATGACAAACCCCGACACCAATTCATTGTGGGTATGGGATTCAAACCTCTGATCAAAGGCATTGATCATGCCTAAGGGAGGCCACTCAGATCGTAGTGTGGTTGAGAGAATTTTTCGACCTATCAATTTATAATGGAGACACCAATAGGTCGGTTTCTAGGATGTCCATCGATACTGGCTATTCTGTTGCAGACTTTACGAACAGCCGTGGAAACCTTACTGAAGGCACATCAACGATGGGTGTGCAACTGACATCACAGAGCAGTACTACCAGTCCGGCCAGCCCAGGATTCGGGATGAGCGACCCCAGCCAGGTACTAACTGATAGTATGGCAGGTAGAAAAGTAAACCCCAACATGACAAATGCCCAAATGTAAAAGGCTGGAAGCTGTCAATCCAAAGATTTAGAAAATCTAGTTTCGTGCTGAAATTATGTTAGATTAAAGATTTTTACGTCACCTCATTTTTGGTAGAGCAATATAAATCAATCACACCTACGTTTCTTTCCAGGAATGTCCTCGGATTTCTGCTGATAATAGGAAGGAACCTATTACATATACACAAGAATTAATGAACAGAATTCAGCCGGGACAAACTTTGATCCGTGGCACTCACTACGCTTCTAAGCTTTAAACAAATTCCTTTATGATATATTTGATAAGAATAAGAACCATAACTCTACAGCAATCACAGGTCTGTGTTTCAATGTAGGAGTCATACGATCTTAGCTCTACAGCTGTCACTTGTCTGTGTTTCAATGTAGGAGTCATACGATCTTAGCTCTACAGCTGTCACTTGTCTGTGTTTCAATGTAGGAGTCATACGATCTTAGCTCTACAGCTGTCACTTGTCTGTGTTCCAATGTAGGAGTCATACGATCTTAGCTCTACAGCTGTCACTTGTCTATGTTCCAATATAGGAGTCATACGATCTTAGCTCTACAGCTGTCACTTGTCTGTGTTCCAATATAGGAGTCATACGATCTTAGCTCTACAGCTGTCACTTGTCTGTGTTCCAATATAGGAGTCATACGATCTTAGCTCTACAGCTGTCACTTGTCTATGTTCCAATATAGAAGTCATACGATCTTAGCTCTACAGCTGTCACTTGTCTATGTTCCAATAAAGGAGTCATACGATCTTAGCTCTACATCTGTCACTTGTCTATGTTTCAATGTAGGAGTCATACGATCTTAGCTCTACAGCTGTCACTTGTCTATGTTCCAATATAGGAGTCATACGATCTTAGCTCTACAGCTGTCACTTGTCTATGTTCCAATATAGAAGTCATACGATCTTAGCTCTACAGCTGTCACTTGTCTATGTTCCAATAAAGGAGTCATACGATCTTAGCTCTACATCTGTCACTTGTCTATGTTTCAATGTAGGAGTCATACGATCTTAGCTCTACAGCTGTCACTTGTCTATGTTTCAATGTAGGAGTCATACGATCTTAGCTCTACAGCTGTCACTTGTCTGTGTTTCAATGTAGGAGTCATACGATCTTAGCTCTACAGCTGTCACTTGTCTGTGTCCCAATATAGGAGTCATACGATCTTAGCTCTACAGCTGTCACTTGTCTATGTTCCAATATAGGAGTCATACGATCTTAGCTCTACAGCTGTCACTTGTCTATGTTTCAATGTAGGAGTCATACGATCTTAGCTCTACATCTGTCACTTGTCTATGTTTCAATGTAGGAGTCATACGATCTTAGCTCTACAGCTGTCACTTGTCTATGTTTCAATGTAGGAGTCATACGATCTTAGCTCTACAGCTGTCACTTGTCTGTGTTCCAATATAGGAGTCATACGATCTTAGCTCTACAGCTGTCACTTGTCTATGTTCCAATATAGGAGTCATACGATCTTAGCTCTACAGCTGTCACTTGTCTATGTTCCAATATAGGAGTCATACGATCTTAGCTCTACAGCTGTCACTTGTCTATGTTCCAATATAGGAGTCATACTATCTTAGCTCTACAGCTGTCACTTGTCTATGTTCTCTATAGGAGTCATACGATCTTAGCTCTACATCAGTCCTTGTCTATGTTCCAATATAGGAGTCATACGATCTTAGCTCTACAGCTGTCACTTGTCTATGTTCCAATAAAGGAGTCATACGATCTTAGCTCTACAGCTGTCTATAGGTCATACGATCTTAGCTCTACAGCTGACTTAGGTCTAGGTTCCGATATAGGAGTCATACGATCTTAACTCTACAGATATCACAGATCTGTGTTTCAATGTAGGAGTCATACGATCTTAGCTCTACATCTGTCACTTGTCTATGTTCCAATATAGAAGTCATACGATCTTAGCTCTACAGCTGTCACTTGTCTATGTTCCAATAAAGGAGTCATACGATCTTAGCTCTACAGCTGTCACTTGTCTATGTTCCAATATAGGAGTCATACGATCTTAGCTCTACAGCTGACTTAGGTCTAGGTTCCGATATAGGAGTTATACGATCTTAACTCTACAGATATCACAGATCTGTGTTTCAATGTAGGAGTCATACAATCTTAGCTCTACAGATATCACAGATATGTGTTTCAATGTAGGAGTCATACAATCTTAGCTCTACAGATATCACAGATTTGTGTTTCAATGTAGGAGTCATATAATCTTAGCTCTACAGCTGACATAGGTCTGTGTTTCGCACACACACACACACACACACACACACACACACACACACACACACACACACACACACACACACACTTCATTCCTATAAAAATACGCTCTAATATCTTCTGTCTTAAAAATGAAATTCCCATATTGAATAAATGGCTGCAGAAACTGTAATATTCCCCTATGGATAGATGCAATGGAATGCATCTTTCTCTCACTCACACATCTGTCCAAGGCTGAAAAGATGTCTACTCGTATGAAGTTTACCAACCCCTTGCAGAATGAACGACTATAATACTCTGTTATATTCCCCACTGGATAGATGCAATGGAATGCATCCTTCTCTCTCACACGCATCTGTCTAAGACTGTACTGTAAATAACGTCTGCTCGTATGACGTTTACCAACCCCTTGTAGAATGAACGACTATAATACTCTGTTATATTCCCCACTGGATAGATGCAATGGAATGCATCCTTCTCTCTCACACGCATCTGTCTTAGACTGTACTGTAAATAACGTCTACTCGTATGAAGTTTACCAACCCCTTGTAGAATGAACGACTATAATACTCTGTTATATTCCCCACTGGATAGATGCAATGGAATGCATCCTTCTCTCTCACACGCATCTGTCTTAGACTGTACTGTAAATAACGTCTACTCGTATGATGTTTACCAACCCCATGCAGAATGAACGACTATAATACTCTGTTATATTCCCCACTGGATAGATGCAATGGAATGCATCATTCCCTCTCACACGCATCTGTCTTAGACTGTACTGAAAATAACGTCTACTCGTATGAAGTTTACCAACCCCTTGTAGAATGAACGACTATAATACACTGTTATATTCCCCACTGGATAGATGCAATGGAATGCATCATCCCCTCTCACACGCATCTGTCTTAGACTGTACTGTAAATAACGTCTACTCGTATGAAGTTTACCAACCCCTTGTAGAATGAACGACTATAATACTCTGTTATATTCCCCACTGGATAGATGCAATGGAATGCATCCTTCTCTCTCACACGCATCTGTCTTAGACTGTACTGCAAATAACGTCTACTCGTATGAAGTTTACCAACCCCTTGTAGAATGAACGACTATAATACTATTTTATACCAACCCCTTGTAGAATGAACGACTATAATACTCTGTTATTTTCCCCACTGGATAGATGCAATGGAATGCATCCTTCCCTCTCACACGCATCTGTCTTAGACTGTACTGCAAATAACGTCTACTCGTATGAAGTTTACCAACCCCTTGTAGAATGAACGACTATAATACTATTTTATATTCTCCACTGGATTAATGCAATGGAATGCACCCTTCTCTCTCACACGCATCTGTCCATGGCTGAAAAGATGTCTTCTCGTATGAAGTTTACCACCCCTTGTAGAATGAACGACTATAATACTCTGTTATATTCCCCACTGGATAGATGCAATAGAATGCATCCTTCTCTCTCACACGCATCTGTCTTAGACTGTACTGTAAATAACGTCTACTCGTATTAAGTTTAACAACCTCTTGTAGAATGAACTACTGTTATATTCTCCACTGGATGTTGTTTGTTTGTGACAGCCTGACTCGCTCGGGATGAAATGAATCCATGGATACACAATTACCTACAAGCTACCTTAACATTTAGGTTCCATATATTTATTCAGACTGCAGTGGAAAAATATGCGAAGAATTGTTTAAAAAGTTAGTTCATATTTCAGCTGTCATCATTTATAAATGTACATGTATGTAAATGACGGAGTCTGGACCTGACAAATCAGTGGATGAATGCATGGATAGTGACCTCACCCTTCTACCCAGAGCTCCAAGCGGCCAGTATAGTTCCTCTGTCACAGGCTGCCGCCTCATATCTTACACAGTCCATTTAAGACACTACTGGTGTTTTTGGTTTGTTTCGTTTATTTCTTAAGTGTCTACATCTAAATTATCATGTGATAGACTGTTAAAGGGTCATCAAACGTAAAACACTATTTCCGTTTGCTGTCATCGAAGCCCCGAGCCAGAGCAAGCGATAGTCACATTTTTATATGTCGATCTCCTACCCAGAGTTCCATGCGACCAGCATAGTACCTCTGCCACAGGCCAGAAAGCACACTCCGACACAGCGATGACTAACATAACATCACTGCCACAGGCTAATTTGCATATCACGTGACCGGACTTTTCTCTTGTTTGTAATCAAACGCGCATATTCATAATAAGCTTATTCACGAAAGCTTTTCGGCGCTCTCTTCATAATGTTTTACATTGTTACATATATATTCTTCCACCACTGCGACAGTTAAGTCTATGACAGTACATATAAAATTTAGATATCAAACAGGCTGCATCGTTTGCTCTCCATCGGCTTCGATGACAACACGTGGAGCCGTACAACCTATGTAAACAAAGGATCGCTACGCAAATCGAAATAGTGTTACATGTTTTTGGATATTTTCTCAGTGAAACTAATTCATTCTGCTAAAGATGTTTAGTTAGAATTGTAGACTCGTCAAAAATAAAAGAGTAAAAGAAATCTGTACATTATATTGAATGGACGGTGCAAGATGTGACGAATCGTCACATTTTTCTGGCCTGTGGCAGAGGTACTATGCTGGCTTGCCGCATGGAACTCTGGGTAGGAGAGTGGCCAGAAAGATGTGAAAATTCGTCACATCTTAAACAGTCCATTCTGTTTAACTCTCTCTTTTTTGACGAGTCTACACATCTAATTAAACATAGGATGGTTTAGTTTCACTGAGAAAATATCCTTAAACGTGTAACACTATTTCGATTTGCGTAGCAATCCTTTGTTTACATGGGTTGTAGGCTCCACGTACTGTCATCGAAGCCGACGGAGAGCAAACGATGCAGCCAGTTTGATATATACATGTATTGTCATAAACCTTACTGTCGCAGTTGTAGAGGAACATTAATGTAACAATGTAAAACAATATGCAGAGCGCATCGAAAAGCCTGCATTAGACCAGTTCTTCTTATTTACGAATATGCGCGTTTACAAAACAAGAGAAGAGTCCAATCACATTACATGTATATGCAAATTAGCCTGTGGCAGTGATGTTATGCTCAGTCATCACAGCCCCCAAGTGTGAATCTATCGGGTCATGGGCTTCATGAGACTTCTATTCCACTAAAGCAATTTTACGAGGAAGCCTTTAGATCATGAACTATGCAGTGACAGGTTATAATCCACCAGCTGTCACTTTTATCTGTTTTCTGCAATTAAACTTTGTTATGTATGAATGTACTTCTGTCTTTAATGAAAGGCTGCAGTTGTTTCATGAACTCTGAACTTGCAGATACTCATCATTAGTGACCGTTCATAATAAAATGAAAAATTTTTTTTTTTTTTTGGGGGGAAGAAGTGGGATGTGGTCATCAATTTTGTACATAAACATATTTTACAAATTATGCTTAAAAATGATAAGGAGGTCTTTGATTTTGTATATGACATGCAAAGTGGGAGAAGGTGTCACTTATTTTGTACATAAAATTTAGGGGCGGGTCATTCATATTTTACATGCTTCTCCATAAAAATCATCTTTCTCTTTCCCATGCTCAAAGCTTTATTGTAGGATGTACCTACATTGTACTAAGTTCCATGCACAAGGTGTATGCCCAAAGCTTTTTTAGGGTGTACCTACATTGCACTAAGTTCCATGCACAAGGTGTATGCTCAAAGCTTCATTGTAGGGTGTACCTACATTGCGCTAAGTTCCATGCACAAGGTGTATGCCCAAAGCTTTGTTGTAGGGTGTACCTACATTGCACTAAGTTCCATGCACAAGGTGTATGCACAAAGCTTCATTGTAGGGTGTACCTACATTGCACTAACTTCCATGCACTGTATTCTCAAAGTTCCATGCACATTGCAAGGTGTATGCTCAAAGCTTCATTGTAGGGTGTACCTACATTGCGCTAAGTTCCATGCACAAGGTGTATGCACAAAGCTTCATTGTAGGGCAGAACTGAAGTCCTAGAAACTCTTGAGTCAAGCTGCCAACCATCATGATTACCTATCCAAAGACTCTCCACGACCACAATTCCTAAAATTCAACTGATTTTGATAGATGCAATGAAGCTAAATAAATTGTCTAGCCTGACGGCCCGATTGCTTTAGCCGCCTCTTACGATAAGCATGGGTTGCTGAAGACCAGTACTGGATCTTCACGGGTATGATAGTTTTCCATGTAAAGAAACTCAGGTGACAATGATTCAGATGTGCATTTTGAGTGTCATTCAGGTCCACCAAACACAACAGGCATAATATTGTTCCAGTTCTTCTGTCTATAGTCCATCATCAACAACTTACATATATTCCAGAGTTAAAAACTCGTCACGATATGGCTGAAATATTGCCGATGTGACGTTAAATAATAACTCACTCACTCACTCCAGTGTTAAATAATCGAGTCTGGACCAGACAATCCAGTGATTAACAGCATGGGCATCGTTCTACGCGACTGGGATTCGATGACGTTTCAACCAAGTCTGACTACCCGATACCGTTTGTAACCTCTACACACTGGAGGACACAGAATAATGTGATGGTGGGTTTGATGAATCATGTCTTCACACAAGGACACCAGACATGTGGATTACAACTTATGTATCTCTGAGCCATCTTGTGTCTTTGTCACCAGCCTGTAAATGCCTGTTAGTCTTTCCCCCAGGATCCAAAAAGAGCAGGGCAACAGAATTTCAAAAGGGGCATCCAAATTCCAGAAAGGGCAATTATGCTAGTCATGCTCAAAGAGCACAATTATTTTACTTACCTCCAACATAAAGTGGGAAAATAGAAACTACCAAGTGTTAACATCAATTATTGTATCAAAAGAAGGGCTGGGCGCCAACCAAAAAGGTCAGGACACAAAATTAAAGGGAAGGGCTGATGACTGCTAATATCGACTGGAAACACATAGAGAATACTACACGAGGTCTCATTACATACGAATTATACGAAACGAGTGTCCTTCCTATGGTATCTGACCGAGCGAAAGCGAGGTCAGAAACCATAGGAAGGTCACGAGTTTCGTATAATTTGTATGTAATGAGACCGAGTGTGGTATTTTATTTATTACCCACGTCTTACATGCATTAAGTTGTTAATATTTTGGTTTCAAACCGAAACCGGTTTCATAAAGAGGTTGCAGAAGAGTTTTGTACTGTAGTACAATATTTGCATGACGTCACACTGTAATGACGTCACTGCCTTGGTAACCGACGTCACGATGCATGTCAGTTGTCATCACCTCATACAGCCTCCTACAGTAAACTACTCCGTAGCACCCCGTTTCTTGGTTTCCAGTTGCTTCATTCGGCTAAGATCACTGGTGGAAACATTATGTTTATGTTTTTCGACAGATATAATGTCTCAGTTGGACTCACAATTAAACAGCGACACGGCAACGTTCGCGATGTTTACATTCCCACAATGCATTTAAGTTGTAGAATGAATGAATTCACGTGTTTGTTATGAATGAAAAATAGTTACCTTAGAATGTGACCTACTTGAGAGGTCATCGGTTATCCAATCAAATCGTTAGAATCTCAGGTCAAGTCGTTACGATACAGGTCAACGCGATACGACACTCGTGTGACGTACGAGATTAGTGAGCAACTACCCATACATTGACTATGTGGGTAATAATATAAGTTATCACATCGTGTCGAGGGAAATACGGGGTTTTATCAGTCCCTCGTAAGGTTGTATTCCCCTCGTCCACGATGCAGAGCTGTCAACCCCTAAAGGTGGTTTGGAGTGAGACTGAAAAACATAAGCCGGGGTCAAGCCGGGGTCATGTCGAGGGCGACGCCCTAGTGGGGGGGTCTCTGGGGGGCGAAGCCCCCCGCCCCCGAAAATGAAGTTTAGTGATTTTCAGGAGCATTTGGAGCCTTCTGGTGGCATTATTTTGACACTAAAAGATGCATGCTAATAAATAATAATAAGTTGAATCATTCGCATAAACATCGTTTTAGTACTTCGTTCATTCAGGCGTTCTTTCAATGTTCAACTTTACGCAAAAACGAACGAATATGCGTATTAATTTTGAAATCATTTTTGGCTACCAGATATGCGTGAGATTATTATTTGGAGGCGTGAGAGCGTGACATTTGTCAATAAAGCGTGAGACTCACGCCAAATGCATGAGAGTTGACAGGTATGACGATGTGATAACGCATTTATCTAGCCCAATGTTTTTACTAAATCAAAAGAAAACAATACGCATCGAAGCGACTTGTTTTTATTAATGTGAGATGCCATGTTGACAACAGCTGATCGATTGACCTCAATGCAGCGCACGCTTTTCTCACTTCGCGTGGTCACCGAGGCGTGGCGGGATAATATGACTTTTGTACTCCCTGCTCGTGGATCGTGACGGGTGTACATGGTATTTTATCAGTCACGTGAACCAATCAAAACTCGACATTCTTACATGAGGTTGGATAATACCCTTTCTTCATACATGAAGTGAGTATGGTTTATGCTTCCTTTAATACTATTCCAGAAATATCATAGCTGGGGAAACCAGGAATTTACTGCACAAATTGTACCCATATGGGGAATCAAACACCTGACTGACAAACACTTTACAGTCTTGGCTACCCTACGGCCACCCCTTCATTTATCAGTGAGTGAGTATGGGTTTACGCCACTTTGAGCAATATTCCAGCAATATTCCAGCAGGGGGAACACCAGAAATTGGATTCACACATTATACCCATGAGGGGAATTGAGCCTGGTCCTTTGGCGTGACGACCGAACACTTTACCCGCTGGCCCACCTCACTGTCGCCTCTCATTTATCAAGAGTATGAGTGTTCAAAATCTGTATGTCTCGTGTCTATATGAATCACTATCTTCACAATGCCTATCAAGGCATGTTTGTTTAACAAACAAAAAACACTAACCTCAAGAGAGTATATACTTTAGTACATGGAAAAGAAATATATGTGAGTTTCAAGTGAACCATAATGTTTTATTCTGGTTTGTACAATTTTCAACAATAAACAACTGTCATACAATAAAAAAATAAGTTGAAAGTAGACCTTAAATGGAAGATTTGCAACTGAACATACTTTCAGAACACTCATATACAAATGATATAACTCCACAAAGTTAACATAAAATTAGGGAGTACTAGTAATCCCTAGAAAAATACATTATGGTATATAAATAACAAATAATGTAATGCCAGTAATTTGTAATAAACTGTAACTGACAAATTGCAAAAGGCAGAATTCTGAAGGTTCAATATTTTGATATCTCATCAAGCTGTCACTTAGCTGCAAGGAGCTGTTGACAGGGCATCGCTTACAGTGAGCAATATCAAGAGCTGCTGACAGTCTGTTATTAACAGTGGGCAATATCAGGAGCTGCTGACAGTCTGTTATTACTAGTGGGCAATATCAGGAACTGTTGATAGCCTTTGCTTAGCAATAACAGGAGAGCTGACAGTGTTGTTAACAGTAGCCAACATCAGAAGCTACTGACAGCCTATTGTTAAGCAACATCAGGAGCTGCTGGCAGCTTATCTTTAAGCAACATCAGGAGCTACTGGCAGTGTTGTTAACAATGGGCAATATCAGGAGCTGCTGACAGTGTTGTTAACAGTGGGCAATATGAGGAGCTGCTGACAATTTGTTGATAACAGTGGGCAATATCAGGAGCTGTTGACAGTCTGTTGTTGACAATGGGCAATATCAGGAGCTGGTGACAGTCTGTTGTTGACAATGGGCAATATCAGGAGCTGTTGACAGTCTGTTGTTCACAGTGAGCAATATCAGGAGCTACTGGCAGTGTTGTTAACAGTAGGCAATATCAGGAGCTGCTGATAGTTTGTTGTTTACAGTGGCCAACATCAGGAGCTGTTGACAGCCTATTGTTAAGCAACATCAGGAGCTGTTGACAGCCTATTGTTAAGCAACATCAGGAGCTGTTGACAGCCTATTGTTAAGCAACATCAGGAGCTGTTGACAGTCTGTCGTTCACAGTGAGCAACATCAGGAGCTGCTGACATTCTGTTGTTAACAATGGGAAATATCAGGAGCTGCTGACAGTGTTGTTCACAGTGGCCAACATCAGGAGCTGCTGACATTCTGTTGTTAACAATGAGTAATATCAGGAGCTGCTGACAGTGTTGTTCACAGTGGCCAACATCAGGAGCTGCTGATAGTCTATTGTTAAGCAACATCAGGAGCTGTTCACAGCGGTCAGTATATCGTCCATGTGACATGCTTCATCTGAGACGTCCTCCCAACTGTGAGTTCTTCAAGGGCCATCCTGGCTTGTTCTGGAACAATAACAATAATCCCATTAAACTAAACATAAACCCTAGGGGGTACAAATACATAAATCACTAACTGGCATCATTATAAATGAAACCCGTCATTAAAACTACTCATTTCGACCTTTAATTGACTTAAATCGACCTTTTTGACAACAGTGCACAATTCTCACCCATGAGCGAAATTTCAACCAATCAAATGACCCGCCTCTGTGGCGTCATATGAGGAATAGCTTTGAGGGCCGATGCAGAATTCATCTACATTTTAGGGGTAAATTATCGTGTTTACAGGCTTGTATAAACCTGAAATCGTGACAATTGTTGTGGAAAATGAAAGCTATATGTTCTCACAATCTACTGTCATTTAATTTTGTCTCCTGCTTTGCCTAGTTTCCGAGTTACAACTTGTTTTCATAGACGATTCTGTCAAAATCGATTGGTGTCGTTAGGCCCTATTTGTATAATGACTGATCCAAATTGATCCCATTTCTGTGTTTTTACCTCTATATTTAATCATGTCATGTAAAAATCTGTTTGTTTTCTCAAAACAGTGTCGGCCCATAAGTTTTCACATGCAATACAGCAATTAATACTCCCTCGTTGTAACCCGTGTTAGGTGGTACAAACCTACACATGTTATTTGTCATCATTCACTTGATGGTCAGTTAATGAATTTATAACAGGTATAATTAGTGGTAACACACTTAGATTACCCGACAAAGGTTCCCATTTGGCATTTCTTGTGTCTGGAGTAAATATTCAACATTATAAACATCGATCAAAGGATTAACCGATAACACGCTGATTGATTAATTACTTTTATCTTACACAGCGGAATTGTCAAAGGTAGTGTTTATGTATGTAGATTTACTAATCTATACTGAATACACTCTGTCGTGGTCGGTGTCTCGCGTAAAAACAACGTCCTTCTTTCAAAGGATTAACCGCCAATACATTGATTGATTGCCCATTATTTGCTAACTAAATTACTGTTTTTAAAAGAAAGGCGGACATTATGCAATTAGTTGCCAGGTGTGCTATCTTGGGTGACCAATGAGACTATACACCAATACCTGAAAAGATTTATCACTTTTTCGTATATTAAACTGTTAAAAGACACATCATTTGGAACAGTTTTGTGGATATTGATGGATACATTCCTCGAACAAGGTAATGGCCTGATATCGTTCCTATAACTTTAATCTGTTTTAATTTTAATATTTGCATTTTGTTTTATTCATTTGTCGTAGCATTCAACAGAATCATTGTTTTCGCCCGTGAAGTGTAATGAGACAGACAACATGCACTAGGGTGTGTGTGTGCGAATTATGATTCACATTGGCAAACTATAAAATGTCTAGATATTACAGTTCTGTTATAAATTCACTATAAGTATCAGCAGATCGTCTGCTTTTTATTTAGTTTCAAAATGCATACAAGTGTGATAATAAACTAATTAGGATTATAAGACCAAATATATAGACGCATTATTGACTAGTATCTACATACTGGTGAGTGGACATTAACCATGGGAATGTAGCAAAGAAATTTATCGCGCAGTATTGTGACTTCGACCCCACCTCGCTTCCGTGGAAGAAATCGTTATGTTATAAGTTGTGTCATGCAAATCCGTTTGGTTATGATTCCAATACATATTTAACAACGAGTAGAAAGTAGTCTTGATTTTCTAACTTGATGAAAACAAACTATAATCTCATTAATTCTAACAGATTTTTTTATTTTTAAAAATGGCGGCGCCCTGTCGGGAACATCCGCCAGTCTGAGGATAAATGGTATTTAGGTTTGTTTTCACCGAAGTTACAAAATCAATACTACTTTCTACTGGTAGTAAAATATGTATTTTATTGATTTTGCATGACATAGCGTATAACATAACAATTTCTCGTGGCAGCGAGGTGGGTGTCAATATAATACTACTTCGACCACAACCTCACTTCCGAGGAAGAAATCGTTATGTTACAAGTTGTGTCATAGAAAATCTTTATGGTCATCAATCATATGCATATTTTACTACAACTAGTAAGTAGTTTTGATTCTTTAACTTCCGTGAAGCCGATCTGAACACAAGTAAGATATCGTTTCAGGCTTCCACAACGCCGCTAAACCGCTCACAAACATAACCCATTTTAGCAATCGAACTGCGGGGTCCTGTGGAAATCTGTGCATGGGGACACCATCGCCTCGACCCTAGGAGCAATTGACGACAAAGCAACGATTCGGCATGTCGCCGTTGATGTCGAAAATCATCAAAATGATGAGCGTGCTACACATTTTCTATACAACTAACTGAAAATCGTTCCTCATATGACGCCACTGCAGTGCTCTGGCGACAGAGTTACGTAACCTGTCTGTGGTTTCGCTTGGCGGGCGAGAGGGAAGCAGGCTTACTTTTGGCCACTTTTAATCGCCGGTATTAATTAACCACAAGTTTTTAAAGAATAAATTTGGTGTTCCGCATAAGACTAACCACAAATCTTTCATATGTAATGGTTAAAAGAGTAACAAAAACAAAGTTTAGTGGTTCTTTAAACTAATAATACATAATCAGAGGATCCTTTCATTCCTAAGGGAGGCAAATGCATAGAATCAAGTGACAGCCATTAAAACCTGCCTGTCTGTAAAGTGTGCTCCATAAAACATGGTTGATCTTGGTACATGAAGAACTGTTCAACATTGTCATTCAACATTGTATGAAATAAGGCCCGTTCACTTTTCACTTACTAGCACAGAGCCTTAGACAGCTCGCCCACCATGCGCCAAAAGTTATCAAAGTCCTGGATAATTTAGCACAAGAATAGCAATGTTACAGTAAAATTATCCACAGTCCTGCTACTAGAGAGGATGTTTATTATTTTGTAGCAAAACTAGACATGATTTTAAGCATCTTCAGCAGAGATACAAATTGAAGCCACAGGTTGACTGACGTTTCGACCGACATATACACTGTAAACTTAGGGTGAATTGGTCATTGTCGGCACAAGTGCTACACATATGTATCCCAGGTACGTGTTTGTATACAGAAATGTACCCTATACAAAGTCAAAATACAGAAACGTACCCGGTACCCTTAACAGCGGTCGAGTCCATATTCCGCAATCCAAAACAGTATGTAGTTGTTCCCGTTCAACTGATTGCGAGTGGTATTCATGTGCATCGTGAAATATCTGCTACTTAGTTATGTTAGGGAAGAAAAATGTAATGTCCATAGCAGCATACTCTCTTCAGCTGTGTATCAAGTACACAACACCAATTCGTGAACTAGTGAAGAGTGAGTGAGTGAGTTAGTTAAGTTTTATGCAACCTTTAGCAATATTCCAGCAATATCGCAGTGGGGGACACCAGAAATGGGCTTCGCACATTGTACCCATGTGGGGAATCAAACCTGGGTCTTCGGCGTGACGAAAAAACGCTTCAACCACAAGGCTACCCCATCACCCTAACTAGTGAAGAAATTCTGTCACAATGCTTCCTAGTTGTAGATATCAACAAAAGCTGACATTGACTTCACTGACTCAGTCAACTGTCAGGGACCATCCATTTCACATTTGATACCTGGAATTCTTATCGGAGACGCGCAAACAAAGTTTCTAACCCCAAAAATAGTTTTCACAACATCCACCATTAGTCTTAGTGAACAAAATGTTTGGGAAAAACTGAGAACAGATTCTATGTTTTCATTACTTTTGAAAACAGATAAGTTTTTCAAATAATGTCAGGTTCCCCTGGCAAGGTTGCACCCTTATTAACAAGTCCTGAAAACTGTACCAGTGATGAGAGGACAGCCATGGAACAGCAGGATGTTGATTTGAGGACAGAACTGAGTGACAGCCTCCACAGCCTCATCTGTCAGCTGCTTGCAGTGATCCATGTGGATTTCCTGAAATTGACAACACTACACATGAAAAAAAGCTAGGACAATAAACACGTACAAATTACAGCAATTCAACAAGTGGATTTCCTGAAATTGACAACACTTCATATGAAAAACTTAAGGAAGGCTAGGAAAATAAACACGTACATTACAGCAATTCAACATGTGGATTTCCTAAAATTGACAACACTTCATATGAAACGCTTAAGCAAGGCAAGGAAATAAAGACATACATTATAGCAATTCACATGTGGATTTCCTCAAATTGACAACACTACACATGAAAAAAGCTAGGAAACATACACATTACGCAATACACACTATACATCCTGAAAACCTACTTGGGACAAATCAACTTTGTGTTTACAGTTCAAGCAAAGCTTAATGGTTATATATAAGACACCATAAAACAGTATAGTCTTTTAATGTAAAAGGAATTTTACTGATAAACATAGGGCATCATGAAAAATCAATAAAATCCTGTCAGATGTTGTACACATATTATTTTTCATTTCCTGGAAACCTGTGAAAATCCAGGTTAAAATTTGTCTTCAATAAGCCATGCTTGTCGTAAGAGGCAACTAACGGGGTCGGATGGTCAGACTCACTGAATTGGTTGAAACATGTCATCCTATCACAATTGTGTAGATCGATGCTCATGACGTTGATCACTGGATTGTCTGGCTCAGACTCCATTATCTATGCCGTCATATATCTGGAATATTGCTGGGTGTGGCGTAAAACTACAACCTACCAGTGATTGATATTATAAGCATTGTTCTGGAGGGTCTGTAAAGAACTGATGTTCTCAGACACATTGTTTCATAGCACAAATACAACTGCTTCGCGGCAAGGACATTAGCTTTTCATGCTGCATGAGATTCTGTGCGATCAGTTTGACTGCGTATGATTAACAGATGTTAAATCTTCAGTTTTATGTGCTTGTGACAAGTTGTTGATGGGTAGCTCTCTCCAAGTGAAAGGTTTTCAAACAGAATAGTGTAGATAGAATAGAAATAGTTGAGAGAATTATCCATTAACGTTTAACATTTGCTAGATATAGGTATTTTAGTTAAATTTCCACTGCGTACCAAGCATCAGTCTACAAAATTGTGACAAGGTCACAGAAAGTAACCTCTGGATTCATTTATCTTTGTCTATGACAAATATAAATTGTTGGTGATATAATCTTAATCATTATCCTCTTGCATATGACAAGCAAAAAATGCTGCACTTGTGATATTAAGTATTATCGTGTGGTAAAAATAACAATGTGATGCTCAGGTGAATGAAAAATAAATGAACCTTATTCATCAAATATACATCGTTCATTATATGATGAACTGCATGGAATCATAAAAATCCTGTAACTGGGGAGACAACTGAATCAACATATTATTTGTGGGCCTCTTTACAATTTCAACTGGATTACCTTCAATGTTTTGGCACAGATTCCATTCACGAGATTGAAGACACCATCATCTGTTATCTGTATAGAACAAAACAAACAACAATAAACAATATGTATCACAATTGTTGTATTGTGCTAACTTCTACACACAAGGTGCATGCTCAAGGTGCTAACATTATTACCCTGGCGCTAGATTTTTGACTGACTGACTGACTGACTGAGTTTGGTTTCGCGCCCCTTTTAGCAATATTCGAGCAACATCATGGCAGGGGACACCAGAAATGGGCTTCACACATTGTACCCATGTGGGGATTCGAACCCAGGTCTTTGGCGTGACGAGCCAACGCTTTAATCACTAGGCTACTGCACCGCCCGCTAGATTTTTGAAACTCTCTTAGAGCTAAGATAGCCGTAAGTTAATGTTAATGTATAGCACTTACGACTATCTTAGCTCTAAGAGTGCTTCACCAATCTATGATCCCTGATCAGTATGCTCCGCCACCCAACCTGCCTGTTGACCATCCCCCATTTACTCAGTGATGCCAGCAATAGTAGTTTCAAGGATCAAAATTAGTAGTTTGACCATAAAAGGAACTGAAGGAAAGGTTACTTGGTTAAATCATTCCGATAGGATCGGCATTTTCCACCAGTACACAATAAATGGGTCAAATCGGACGTAAAGGTATTGAAATCAGCCTTAGGTTTCTGATAGACAATTTCGCTAAAATTACGTTTGCTACTTGCAATGATTCCAGTTCAAATAATTATGTCATTAAACTTGATGAATGGAAGGTATGTTTTGTCTATATATCCGAATTTTAATGAATTTTCTTCAGATTTCGTAGAATTTCTAGTGCAATCGTATTGGTGTAGTTTGAGGCTTAAATTCGTAGCGACTACGATAAATTCGTAGAGGTTGGAATCTCTGATTTACTGCTTGGTGACAATATGGAACAAAGTCACTTGCCTAAGGTGAGACTATGTGTTACATGTGATTTGTTGTGGGGCAGGACTGAAGGCTTAGAAACTCTCAGGACTTAACCTGCCAAACATGGTCCCCATCCACGGACTCTCTGTGACCAACATTGCTTAACTTCAAATGATGTATGACATGTGCTCATTGCAGAGGACCACACATCACGGCTCTGTAGCTCACCTAACTTTTGAAGACATTTCATCCTCATTTTAGCACATCTATAGCAAATAAAGGTGAGATGAGGTGAAATTAGGCTTAACGTCGTACTTGAGAATATTTCGCTCATCTGACGATGTGCATGCATGCATGTGTATGTGTATGTGCAGCTGCTTGTACTAGCCCAGACTTAAACTGGTTTTATAGTGCTAGCCCACTGAGATCACCTACCCCACTCAGACACATTATACTGACTCCGAGCCGACCAGTCCTTGTTGTACCCATTAATGCCGAGCACCAGGCAGGGACGAACAAGTACCATATTTTAACGTCTTATGGTATGATGGGTCGGGGATCGAACCCGCGAACTTCCGCTCTCCGGGCGGACGCTCTAACCACTACACCACGGAGGCGGTCAGAAGACACATTGAAGCTCCATGATCCTGCAGTACCTAGTTATCTCCCTTGGCCCACGCAACCACATATTCTTCACTGTATAACGGCAGACATAGCATGAACAGTGGCACCAAAATGGTAAAACGGAGGATGTAGACAAAGTCGGGGCTGACCTAAATGTGCAGCGTCAGGTGAGTATAAACACACTGTATTGATTCTAAAATGCTCAGGATTTACCTTCACAAACGCTGCGAAGCAGGGTTGCCATGGCATCAGATAAGTGGTCTTCAGCAACCCATGCTTGTCGCAAGATGCAACTAACGGGATTGGGTGGTCAGACTCGCTGATTTGGTTGACACATGTCATTGTATCCCAATTGTGTCGATCATTACTCATGCTGTTGATCACAGGATTGTCTGGTCCAGACTCGATTATTTACAGACTGCTGCCATGTAGCTGGAATATTGCTGAGTGCAGCATTGAACAACAACCAACTCACTGACTGACATTTCTTGCAGCTATAACACTCACACTGGCTCTTGAAAAGTTGAGAGACTTAAGAAAATGTGAATACTGTCCGAGAGCTGTGAGTGTGCGGTCTGTTATGTTGGGACAGCCACCAATGTTGAGGTCCCTCAGTTCAGGACAGTTCTGAGACAAAGCAATGATAGCATCGTCTGTAAGGTTAACACAGCGACGCACGTACACCACTTGGAGTTGACGACAGAACTGGGACAGGGCTGTGATGCCTGTAGATAAACAATTTTTAACCAGACTCTGGCTAAATACTCATAGTAATTCCTTAATGAAATATACTGACATACAAAAGAAGGTACACACCTGGGTCCCGTTTCACAAAGCTATCGCAGCGTTAAGACTGTCGTAACTTCTATACTGTAACACAGACTTACGACAGTCGCAGCGTTACGATAGCTTTGTGAAACGGGCCCCTGATGCTTTGGGATCATTTAAACAAAACCGAATGCTGTTGAGTGAGTGAGTGAGTGAGTGAGTGAGTATGGTTTTACGCCGCTTTTAGCAATATTCCAGCAATATCACGTCGGGGGACACCAGAAATGGAGAGATGGGAGATGGAGAATGTGCAGGTGATGGTCATCTTGTCGGAATCAAAACACTTTCAAAATATTTACATTGAACTTTATAAAACTGATCCCAAAATGCCAAGTGTGTGCCCTCAATTTTGTACATGAATTTAGGTCAACAAGCTGAATGAGTGGCTTTACGCTGCTTTTAGCAATATTCCAGCAATATCTCGCCGGGGGACACCAGAAATGGGCTTTCAGATATTGTACCCATGTGGGTAATCGAACCCGGGAATTTGGCGTGATGAGCGAACGCTTTAACCATCATGCTACTCCACGGCCCGGTCAACAAGCAGAAGAATATCATCAAACACCATCAGTTTCAGTGGAGTGAATTAAGTGCCATTATGTTGACTTTCACTACCTGAACTCACTTGACCAAACGGTCTTTTACTAGACACAGACCTTGGACTAGTGGATAAAAACATATACTGCCTTGTACTGTTTCTATGAAAATCTTATAGTTATGAACAACAGCAACTTCTAAAAATACTTGAAATTCTCACTTTCACATTTATAAAAAATCACAAATATAAAATGATGACAACTTGTTTCTCATTTCTCTCTTTGAAATAAGTTTACCATGGTTATTAGGGGTGTCGCGATACGCGAATGTATCGATGCATCGATACATTTTTACTGACGATACGATACGCGATACATGCTTACGTGTATCGATTCCTATTTTAAAACTTTATCGATTCAAATTTCTATGCTATATCCATCTCCTTCAAAGTCTTGATAGTAAATTTATACGAGACGGCTCCCATAAATAGATGTAGCTAGCTTTACTTAAAAAATAGGTTGGAAACTAACAGCTTTTGTGATTGGCTAGACTATTTTGATGGACCAATCAGCGAGCGCCTACGCGTTGCCGGTAAGGTAATGCTATGAAAAGGCGCGAAAATTATGTATCACGATACGTATCATGACCTTAAAATCGTGATACGTATCGTATCGTGAGATTGGTGTATCGTGACACCCCTAATGGTTACTGCGGCCTCAATTAAAAAAAGAAACAAAGGAAGGTAACAGCAAGTGAAAGAAGATAAAACACCTTTGCTGAAGCTGACCAATATCATTTATAATGTTTGTGTATACCCCAGTAACTTCTTAAACATTATCAACATAACTGCACTACGCAAAGTACCAAAGATTTTGTCAGTGAGAGCGTCAAAGACATCTTTACTTATAACCAAGCTGTAACAAAGTCCTTCCTCCAGGCTCCTAGTATCATCTTCATTACCTTTCATCTTCAAGTTTGAACATGAATAGCTATTAATTAAGCGAAACGTGACAGATCAGAATAGGGCTTGGAACTAGTGGACTGCGGTATCATGACCAACTGGTAATGGAGATTCTATACTGAACCACAAAACAAACATCGCTTTTCAAAAGCAAATGCAAGATTTTGTGCTTACAAAATGGTGTTTTATGATGATTGCATCGTTTATTAACATGTTTTTCAATCCAAATTGACAGTTATTACTAACATCAATGTGTTTTCTTATGAAAAAGCATATTGACCAAACTCACCTAAAATGGCAGACATGGTAAAAGGTTCCGTATGACATTCGTGAAAATGAAAGTGCATGTGCATATCGTGACAACCCTACCAATGAAAGTGAGTCTCAAACTCGCTTGAAATCATTTTTGTTTTGACACAATCGACATGGCACGACTTACTAGAGATCAGAGAAACCAAGGACTCACAACAAACACATCAGTGCCGATACAGTGCATCCATGTTTACGCGGGAGAAACCTCTGTTGTCACAGACCATATCATAGTCCTGTCCTCACCGCTCATCATCGCCAAAACCGACTGCAATGGGCAACTCAGCATCGAAATCGGGCGTTATCGACAATGGAGAACTCTGCTTTTTGTCTCATGAAAGCCGATATTGTGTTTCAACAGTCGATGGCAGAGTGGGAGTATGGTGAATAGAGTATTGTTGAAAGGGACTCGTGGGGTGGTCCAAGAATCATGGTGTGGAGTGCAATCGGTCTGAACCAGATAGTTAGCACCGTGCTGTCCCAGAATCTCGGTCCAGGATGACGAAATAACATGACAGCTGCTCGCTACATTGACCAAGTCATAACATTAACACCCCATGTTGTACCACATTTGGACTCTACAGAAATCACATCTTCCAGCAAGACAATGTTCATGCCCACACTGCCAGAGTAGCATTGGACTTCCAAACAAAACATGGCATTCAAACCCTACAATAGCCTGCACTCAGTCTTGATTTGGGTCCAATAGAACACCTTTGGGAAGAGATTCAAAGAAGACTGAATGACCTCCATCCAAGGCCGACAACTGCTGCTGGACTCGATCAGGCATTTCACAGAGTATGGACCCAAGTGCGTATGACCTTCATCAACCGGCTAATTCATTCCATGTACAGACGATGCAACGCTTTCATCGATGCCCATAGAGGCCACACACAATACTAACTTTGAGGTATCTTAATGGTACCATTTTTGGTGATTTTGTTTGTGTGAACACTAAATGTGATTCCCGAAAATGTTTTAACCATAATTGTCAAGTTTGAACTCAATCCTCCGTTTTGATTGCTAATCAGAGTGAATTAAAGTGTGTGCTTTGAAGAAACCGCTATCTGTGCGACATTTCTTTTGTGGTTCAGTATAGATTCAGAAGTATTCCAAGTAACCCAAATTGTGATTGAAGTTTCAGTTCTGTCACCTTGTGTCGTGACAGCTGTTCTTGATTCCTTGATAGAGTTGAGATCTATCTTCTTGAGTTGAGGACACTTGGAAAGCTTTGCCAGACCAGCATCTGTGACTTCCGACTCGCTTAGGTCCAACTTCTGCAACCTGTTATGAAGAACCTGTGGCAATAATAATCATATCAAACATTATTAAGCATTAGACTCTTCTGTAACAGCTGACTACTTTGTTAGAGGGATTTTTTAAAAAATATTTAACAGGTCTTGGGACATCAGCCTTTTAGAGTCCAACATTGTCACTGGAATAATATACCGAATATCATCAAGACTGAGATCAAGAAAATGTCAGCAGGTGTGGTTTTAAATGGCTCTCAGCATTGATGCTGTAAATGATATGTAAGCTGAAAGTGACAAAACTCCATCGTTGAATGTGTTCATGATGTAATGACAATAGTTAATGGAATAATCAGGACGATTGCTCACTCATGCGGTCCAGCTCTACACTGGTACTGCATTCTCTACAAGGGGACGAGTTTAGGTAGCATACTGGTTAAAACGTTCACCTGTCAGGCGGAATGCCATGTTCGATTCCCCCCACTGGTACTGTGTCTGAAGCCAGTGTTTAAAACTCCCCAAATTCCAAGCGAGACAGACAGACTGGTAACTTTTAAAAATTACCAGTCCGGATACAAACTTAATTGCCTGTCCGGTTTTCAACAATGAAACTAAATCAGGATTGTGAATACTTTATATACTGTTTGTAGGCATCGCAATGAACACGTAGCACTAACAGGCAATGCACCGAGTTTAGGTAAACTGAAAGTACATCAGCCTGGTGTGACCCAGGCAACCACAGTGGTGGGGCGTTAACGCAGGCGCAACAGACCCAGGGAACCAGGCTGAATGTACATGTGTTGGGTATTGTAAAATGAACTGTCCAATCGTAAATAGTTTAACATAATTATCATAATTACCTTAAACACCTCAATTTGACGACAAGAGAACCTGTCTGATATTATGAAATATTTACTGTTAGGGGTAAAACATCTACCAGACCACCGGACAGGTTACTTTTGAAAATTGACCGTCCGAGATGAAAATAGACCGTTCCGGACGGTCGGGCAGGCGGGAATTTTAAACACTACTGAAGCCCATTTCAGCGAGCCTGACCACCCGATCCTGTTAGTCGTCTCTTATGACAAGCATGGGTTACTGAAGGCCAATTCTAGCCAGGATCTTCATTCCATCGTTGAATGGGTTCGTGGTGGCATTTGGGTAGCCTAGTGGTTAATAATAATATGTTCACCTGATTACCCGGGTTCAGTTCTCCACATGGAGCCCATTTCTGGTGTCCCCCACCATTAAAATGCTTGAATATTGCTAAAAGCAGCATAAAACCAAACTGACTTTCAAAAGTGATGGGTGAACATTTCCTTACAGCAGTGATGTTTGAGTCCGATATGATCCCTCGCTTGCACATCAGAGTCAGGCATTTGTCTTTGATGTGGAGAGGGAGACGTTCAAGGTCATTACCACTGGCAAGATTCAATACCACAACCTTCACTGACCTGAAACACAGGAGCAGACATAAAGCTTTCTACAGTCAATGGTAAATAGTACGTGATGGCAATTAATGAGGTGAGGTGAAATTGGGTTTAACGTCGTGCTTGAGAATATTTCGCTCATATGACGACGTGCATGCATGCGTGTGTATGTGTATGTGCGGCTGCTTGTACTAGCCCAGACTTAAGCTGGTTTTATAGTGCTAGCCCACTGAGATACCATGCCGCAGTGAAGCATGAATACTCCACTCAGACACAGTATACTGTGTACGGCTGTAAATGATTCTAAGTTTTTCCAGTACTCCTATATTGAAAAAATAGGGAGTATGTACTCCTGATGTTGAAAAATTATCTGGAGCCCTGGTAACCTATAATGTTTTTTGGTTAATTTTCTATCTGAACGTGCTTAAATTTGTGAGAATATTAATGTTATTTACTACCTAAATGTGTTCTTATAGGGCGGTGGGGTAACCTAGTGGTTAAAGCGTTCACTTGTCATGCCGAAGACCCGGGTTTGATTCCCCACATGGGTACAATGTGTGAAGCCCATTTCTGGTATCCCCCGCCACGACATTGCTGGAATATTGCTAAAAGCGGCATAAAACTAAACTCACCACTCACTCAAACATTTTTGGGATGATTTGTATGTGTTCCTCACTAGTTTAGCTGGAAGACATTATTGGTTGATTTCCACCCCTGCAACACATCACTCTCCTTGTGTAATTGTACACATACTACTATCTTTATGACTTATTTAAAGGTATAATGTTTTGTTATAAAGGCAATTGATTTTGCATCTGAAATGGTATTAACGATCTCAGGGAAATAATATTGATGTTTGTTTGCTATTTATACAACTTAACTTCCGGATATCAATTGTCAATAAAACTTCTCACTATATAGTGGCTGGGCATCCACCCTGCAAATGCAATTGCTTGTGCTCTCTGATCGCTCACATACTCCCTCCATATAGGGCGAGCAAGGCAATCGTCAAAATCACCAGAATGTCGAATTCAGATCGCTTTGGGATACCCCTTGTTGTCTTAAATATCACATGAACAATTGTAAAACATGCCACTAACATATTAAGGACAACTCAATCTCAAACACAAGCCATCATCAGAGTATTTTCAATGTCTGTGTGACGTAACATTCATTAGAATGAGTGTGAACACTGCCGTGCGATAACGTGTGACGTCCGAAAACCTATGATCCGATTATAAAGAATGCTTTGTTATTAATGGTAGACATATCTTTCTGATGAGCATGCGTTGAAAATGGCACATTACACAAGTAATTATTCACATTTATTGACGGTAAAATTGTTATATGCAACTTCTGAAGGGTATTAGACGCTACATTTCTCACTGGCAACTTCTAAATAGGGTAAACCTAATAGATCGAACTCATCTGAGTCATGTCCCCCGAAAGAGATATGACTCAAGATAGCCGAGAGCATCGCGGCTCTCGGCTAGACTCAAGTCAAGAGTCTTTTAACACTGTCCACATTGATCTTAAGCTATGACAGCTAGCTGACAACTAGTGCGAGCAAGTAAAATCTGTAACGAATACAGTACTGATCACTCAGGGAAACTGTATTTTCTTACGTGTCAAGTAAAGATGGCACAGTTGGAAACATCATGCTGTCAGTGAACGCACCGGGCTTCACAGACGCCATGTTGTTTATGATTGCAACCAAGAAGTGTGTTCAGCCAATCAACAAACGAAGCATATTTTCTGCTGCCTTGAAGTATCCGGTCACGTGAGTTGAAAGGGAACGTCATCAAAATGGCAGAACAGCCTAGTAAAGCCGACATAAATGCTATTTTCAAGCGTTTAAGGTCAATTCCGACAAACAAAGTAAGTGTACTTACAGAATTGAACATGTAAAATCTCGATGCGTGGTGAACACTGTATTTTACCGTCTTCGAATCATCAAAATATCCACTTTTCAGCATACATGTGTTTGAGCTTCCACGCGAATGGAAATGACGTGACAGTCGCATTTTCTCAAACGTTTCTCTTTGCTTGAATCCTGATCACTTGATATTTTCTTGACGTCTGTGATATTGATGTATTCCGTACATTGAAATACCCTGCGTTACCTAATTACGATGTAGCCAGCGTTAATAGTCAACCTGGGTTAAAAAAACGTGTTTACATCCAAAACGTAGACACTATTGATTTGGGATATATAATCTGTACCCCAAAAGACACATTTTGTACACAAATTGGAAACTACAGTATCTTATATCAAGGTACTGTCTGTCAGCATCTTTGAGCCTATTTAAAACCATTTTGTAGTGCTACAGATGTTTGCCAATGATGAATGTTTACACGCATACATCATTACATTAATGCTGCTTCTGGTTCAAAGAGGAAGTAACATATTGTTGTCATACGTTGATGTAAACAATATTTTCATGTGTATAGGAAACAAGTAGATAGCACATAGTTAGGTAGACTAAATGGATATGCTATGCAAGATAAGGTGTCAACTATAAAGTACAATATGGTTCACCAATTCACATGTCAGCAGTGGTCAGTTACAGGCTGTGTGTCACTATTAGGAATTTGTATCTATTCTAAAAGTGACACACAGACACTCAACGTCATTACTGGTGCTTGTACAAACTTCTCAAAATACTTATCTAAATTCCCACTAACATTGAGTAACGTCTCAATTATGTTCATATCAGGTTTGTCAAGGTAGTAGTTCTAGCCATTTATGTCTCTATGCCGATGGAGATATATAATATGTGACTCAACATGTACAAGACATATTTTGTATCCTCAATCAATTTATGGAATGTAATTAAGAATATTTGATTGCCCCATTCTGTACCCAATACTTTTCTGTCATATGTAGGAAGACTTTGGTGTTTATCAACAACTGGCTGCATGCTTACTGTCACTGCAGATTGTAATCATGTTTATAATAGTTACACGCTATATTCGAATTGATGCATACAGTAAAGTATCTAGACTGTCTCACAGTCCATGAACCACATTATTTTCCTTTTTCCCGTCCAGCCTTTTCTGCAATGCTAAAGCTGAAAATGATTGAAATACCAGATGACAGTTTCCATGCTGACTGCTAATTTCATGAAACTATTATTATGTTCCAGCAATGTTTTGACTGCAGTCATAGCAACCCAACATGGGCCAGTGTAACATACGGTGTGTTTCTGTGCATCGACTGTTCAGCTGTCCACAGGTCACTCGGGGTGCATGTGACATTCATCAGATCTACTCAGCTGGACACCAGCTGGACCTGGCTACAACTGCGGGCCATGCAAGTTGGAGGAAATGCAAATGCAGTAAGTAGAAGTACAGTGTATGAGTATTGTTTGTTGAGACATGACTGATGTATTGAATCATTGAGAGTGTTGTATGTGTGTGTTAGTGTTGGGAATTGGTTTCAATCTCATAATTGATGATTGGTTCATTACAACCGATCAATCATCGAAAATAATTGGTTAGCGTCATTTATTAAATTTTCCTGGTTATGTTTGTTAATGCACAAAAGGTAAAGAAAAAAACACGTAGTTCTTTCGTTTTCTTTGCAAATTGCACAAAATGCATTTGCAAATTTCACATCTTTCAAGGATGACTAGCATGTTAGGAACATGAATTTCATGGAGTCTTTAAAATAAATTCAATCATGAATTGGAAGAGCTTGTAGTGCTAATGAAATCTAACAGACAAAACAGACCTTGTGAAAAATATTGTTATTGCAAACAAGTTAGTGTTCCAAAATTGATTGTGTTCGATTATGAGAAAACATGATCGATTGCTTGGTCGTTTTGTCATTGAGACCAATCTTCGATTATTTCAATTATTCGGACCACCACTAGTGTGTGTACACTATATATACAGTACAGGGACTGTATCGGAGTATGTACGGACAAAAATAGGCACGATACAGTAGGAAATAATTTGGAAAACGTAGGAGATAATGGTGTACGGTCTGTGAATCATTTACAGACTTATATATCTAAAACATATCAATCTGATTTCAAGCAGTGTCCCATCTTTGAATTTACGCAATAGCAACACATTGGATTTTCCCAGCCTTGTTGTGTTTTGGGAATCCCGGTTGTTACTGTTAAATTTGATTGGTGAAAACGTGTAAACATGGCGGCACAGAAACAAGTTTCTCTCAGAAACCAGACTGCCTCGACGACTTGTAAACAGTCAAGTAATCAAATTGCCTCCATACAGTTTGTACCGAACGATTCCGAATGCTATTTTCCGTACGATTGGTTCCTTTAGTGAGGCACGCCACAACAGTGAGTAAACAGTCACTGAAAATAGCGTTTTGTCAGTATTCAAGCATGTCAGCTTGCTGAAATATTAGCTATGATAGACATGTCACCAGAAACCCCAAAGAGTATATACTGCTGGGCAAATATCTGGTTTTATGCAATTTTCATTTGTTGGGAGATCAGTGTTGGCGAAAAGGAAAGAGAAAATCCATTTTGTAAGTCCCGTCGAACCCTAAATAGTAGCTGTTGTCTGATTGGTTAAATCCGTTCGGCCGTCTCGCGTTTGATTGGGCGGTCATAGTTCGCTCAAAGGTTAGCTGACGCGACCTTCCACAAGAATTTGTTAGACCCAGTATAGCAGTGTAACGAATAATACTGAGTTTAAGTTTACTTAGACTGTCAAATTGCTGTACGAATAATGAATGAACAGCTCACTAGTATCACTTGTTCGTCTTGTTGTAGTCACACTCCATTAAATTCCATTCAGGACTTCAGTAAATGTACTCTTAGGGTTTTCCAATAAGGAGTACATACTCCTGATGTTGAAAACTTATCTGGAGCCCTGTGTGTGTAGGTGTGTGTGTGTGTGACTGTGCGAGAGAAAAAGTCTTAACCTATCTGTGGTCATGTGTACAAAGTGTAGATGTGCAATAAGAGTGAGTGAGTGAGTTTAGTTGCACACAACAATATTCCAGCTATATGGTGGTGGTCTGTACATAATCAAGTCTGGACCAGACAATCCAGTGATCAACAGTATGATCATCGATGTTCACAAATTGGGATACAATGACATGTGTCAACCAAGCCAGCAAACCTGACCACCCATTTCCGTTAGTAGCCACTTTCGACAAGCATGGGTTATTGAAGATCATTTCTAACCCGGATCTTCACGGGTCTGTGCAATGAGATGGTCCATATTATTTGCTATTTGTCATGAAAGAAAGAGTAGCACCTTAATGTCCTTTATCAAAACCATTTAATAGGATTGGATGGTTAGAGTTTTACTTGAAGTATAGTGTTCGCTTTTCTATGATAACATTTTCTTTGCTCACTATAATTACTGTCCATGTTCAGTTTGCTGTCAAAACTCACTTGCATTCATGACCTGTTTCAGATCTCATACTTCCGCCAACATGGTTGCGACACAAATGATGCCCAGAAGAAATATAACAGTCGTGCTGCGATGATGTACAAGGAGAAGCTACTTGGACTGTCCCAGCATGCATGCAGACTGCATGGCACTAAGGTGAGATGAGTTCACTGCCTTTCAGTCAGACCGCTCACAGTTGATGGGGTTGTCAGTCTGTAAACTATGATTTGCTCTTTCATCAAAATGTTCGTGAATGTTCAATCACACAATTCACATGTTCTCGTCTTGTCATGTATCAAGGACCAGTATCAATGAAATTATAAAAAAGTAAATTATGAAGCAAGGCATATATGTTGATTTGTGTTTTGTATGTGCAGAAAACCTATGATCGTGGGTTTGTGTCCCAGATGTGTCATGATTATGTTCGTTGGTTTGTCAGAACCATACCCTTGCTCTCAGAGTTCACGAAAATGACGGAAATAAGCAATAGGCTGCTAGCACAGTAATAGTAAGCTTATCCTGTAGAACTTCAAACATTTTTGGGATTATTTGTATGTGTTCCTCACTCAAGTTTAGCTGGAAGACATTATTGGTTGATTTCCCTCCCTGCAACACATCACTCTCCTTGTGTAATGGTACAGGTACCACTACCTTTACGACTTATTTAAAGGTATAATGAACCTTGTATAAGTCTATAAGCCCACCTGTCTTCATTGACGTTACAGATTCAAAATGTCATAGAAATAAAAACGTCAAAAATAGGTTTTAACTATCCATTTTGGCGAATGAAGTTAAATACACAACTGGACAAGAAAGACGACGATGTTGTTGGTGTTGTTGCATGTACGTGTATGATGTGCCTGATACATCTGTCCATGTGACGCAGGGAGATGGAGCTAATGTCACGCTAATGTCACACCTGTTGTCTTTCTTCCTAACAGCTGCACCTGGAAGCCAAGGGAGACCCTAGCAAGAAGGTCATTAAGTTCAATTTTGTTGATCTTACCCCTTCTTGGTTACAAACTCACTTGCTAACATTTCTCTTTCAAAATATAAATAGATATCATTTAAAATTTCGTATATTGTATTAGTTTCCTTTTTGGTATATTTGGATAAGTTTTGAAGTTTCCAATGAACGGATGAAATTTGTTGATGACATCCAAAGCAGTTTAAGTAAATATGTATAGATTTTGTTTGTTTTTTAATCACCAATTTTAATTGCCAATTTGTTTTTTAATCACCAATTTTAATTGCCAATTTGTTTTTTAATCACCAATTTGAAACCCTCTTGGAGAAAGACATGTTCATGTTATATTTTGATATTTTCACTTTTGGGAATTTAGTTTTGCTCACTAACCAGTGCTTAATGTTACTTAGTGTTATTTTTGAAAGAGAAATATGTGTTGTATTTATGCATATTTAGTTCCATGTATTCTTGAGGGCTTTTGATATACTTTAGTACCAGTGAGGAGTTTTGCACACACAAGACTAATTAATTTAGCTTTTTCTTCCAGATTATGACATTTAGACTCAGTAATTTGGGATTATTCGAGACAAACTAACTATTGTGATGGAAACTTTATTAATCATCCACAGTACTTCATCATGCCAGGGTTCTGGGGACTTTCAGAATGCCCAAATATGGAAGTCCTAATTTTTGGGTTATATTGGTCTGGGGTTATGTATTTGTGGTACTCTGGTCCATTGTTTCCACAGGTGATGGTCCTAATGACCCATAAATAACCTCACAATCTAAAGTTCTTCCTTTTTAGGGGTGCAATGATACTGAAGGTCATGAAATGTATCTCGATACAACGAAACCAGCTTGAATTTGTAAATGATTTTTCGCAAGAACTATCGTCCTAGACATTTGTGTAGTGTACATATTGTATCGTTGTGAATCGTTATGCATGTCCACATGTATCATTTGGGGTATTGTTTCACCCCTTCTGGGTTTCTCATATGACAAAAACAAAGATTTGAATTTAACATGAGTCTGTCCAAGATCAGTAATATTCTGGAATGACCAGTGACATTTTGTTATTGGCTGGTATCTTTGAAGCAGTTTTTAGCCTTTAAGCACGTTAAGCAATGAGATCTGAACACGGTTTTGCATAAAAAGGTCACTAAAAAATAACACCTTAAATTTCAATAACTTCATGAACTATATGGCATATCTGGCTTGAACCTGTTAAAGGTCATATTAGCATGATGCATCAATAATATAATTAAACCTGTTCTGTGAAGAGGTTAAGAAACTTTTTCAGCTTATTTTGCTATTTTGTGACAGCCCTCCTTGTATGTGATGTGTTTTGTTTAGTTTATTTTTCTTGGAAAGAGACAAGGAATGAAGGTGGCCATTGACATGATTATCATGCTGAAGAAAATCAGCATAAATGTTCAAATTCTTTACTTGCATTTTGACATTTGCAAATGATTTTGTTAAACAAAACATGAAGTATCTGAAGCTGTGACTATGATTTGTGAAAAAGGCTGGTATTACAAAGGTCTTTTGAAACTGCCATCTATGATGAAGTCTGTAAAATTGTCATCTAATGTTGGCGCTGTCTCAAGTGCCCTTTGACCTTCCTGAAAATGTCACAAGAAACTTCGTTCATTTTCTCTGGATTATGGTAATATGACAAGACAGATTGTGGTGTTCCACGACAACACTCCCAAGAATGTTTTTTATGTTAGTTTATTCTTTTCAAATCTGGCTGATATTATGTACTGCATTGTGTGTATTTACTTGTGTATTACAATTCTTAGTGTTTGATTGTTATCATGTTATGGGATTGTGTGTGCATAGAATGAAGTACTGGTTTACTGAAGGATATCCTGCTACAAGCTCCCTGCATTCATATTGCTGCAGATTAACTTATGTTACACCAAGCCTCATGTGCACGTCTTGGCCTTTACATGTGTAGATCTTCATTTGTACAATGAGGGTAGTTAAGAGACTTATCTAGTAATCGAGTTTGGGGTAGTAGAGTAGCCCGGTTGTAAAGTGTTCAGTTATCACGATGATCACCTGGTTTGGTTCTCTACATGGGCACAGTGTTAGTAGCCCATTCCTTGTGTGCCCTGTCGTAACATTGAAGGAATATTGCTAAAAGCAGCTGAAAACCTTACTCACTCACTAATATAGATTGGTAAACATTGTATTTTCCTCATGGTACTATGTTTTTAGTCTCAGTTAAAATGACCCAATGTTGAATCTTTTCAAGAATAAGAAAAATATAAAAATTAATATTTCCCGCTCAAAAATCCTGTTTTATTGGCCAAAAATGTAAACTTACAAGAAAAAAATTTAGGTTGTATTTTTTTTTTGCCCCATATACACTTCATAAATTGCCAAAAGTAAAATACTATACTTTTACTATTTAAAAGGAATATTACTTTGACTGGTGATTTTTATTTTATTTTTTATATCCTGTCTTTCAGTTTTCTGAAGAAAAACATCTGTAAAACAAAAAACTGAAATTGGTCAGGCCTGAATATGAAAACAGTAAATTGTGGAGCTTTGTTCATTCGTTTGTTCCTACGTTGACTTGTTCAGGCCTTGTTTATTGGAAACCACAGCTTCCACACTATTCCTGCTTATGTATTCAAGGTAGTGTAATCCGAACCATGTTTCATTAGTACAGAAACTTGATAATGGGCATATTTTCTAGGTATCCCTTCAACCCGGTTAATGTTTACCTGTAATTTGTATCAGTGTAGGAATGTGTTATATCAGTTATTAATTGATTATTGAAACATAAACAGTTGTATGTACGTGGTGTAGGCTGTGTAAGCAGGTTCATTGTATAGCATTCTATACCATGTTGATTTGGGGAATAACTTGGTGTCAGCTGGGCAGCATCATAGCATGTGTTCATCAACCACCAGCATCATTCAGCATGAAATAACATCACCTGCTCATTTACCAGCTGGCTGAGCACGCTAACTTCACATTTGTTATCACTGTTTGAGAATTTGCCCTTAAGTAAATATTTTTGTGATGTTTATCTAAAGGTTCAGAGGCAGGTGTTAAGCCCAAAATGTCTGTATTATTTCAAATTCCCATATAATATTCAGGGTTTTACGCTTCTCAGTAATGTCGTCCGAAATGTGCGCATGTGGCGCATTAAAATGTGGCCTGTGAGCAAAAAAACATTCTCTGTATCAGAAGGACGCACAATATTATTCATTGTACCCAGTACACAGATGTGTTACATGCATCATTTCATCCATCAGTCCTCAAGATCAGTGATTAATTCCAGTCTCGAAAGAAATTATCAAAACATACTTTTCTCTACTCTGTTGCTTCACAGGCCCCTCATATTGTTCGCAAACACCCTTAAAACTAATAGAATGGGGGTCCCCAGGATCCCCAGGATCCCCATGTTTGTGAGTCAAGGTAAAACCCTGGTATTATTTATATGAATATAGTTAGTATTATTGAAACTAGTACCGGGATTTTCCGGAAAGCCGCCTAGGGCTGTAAAATGGAAATTTTGGGATTTTTTTGGGGGGAAAATGGACCATATAACCGCCCGGGCGATAATTCAGAAATAAAATAATTCAATAGTCGGGAACTAAAATCAAATTTCAAATTTTCAATGTTGCCAAAATGAAATCTTTGCAATTCAACATGCAGTAGTCATAGCAAAGTAACGATGTTTCGAGGAAATCATTAAATAAATTGAATAAACTGATGAATAAAATCAACAACAGCATTCATGAAAGTTGTCAAAGGTACATGTAAAATTACTATTTCCATCTTTTTGTGCGATCATGTAATGTAAGTCAAGTCACTGACATCTCGGCTCTCGTCGCCTCAATCTTCACGCTCTGACACAATGTTTAATGCGAAAATATATGCATGAAGCATTTTGGTCACAGGTCATAACCTAGCACGATACGTCCAATAAGTTCCATAATTTACGTATAGGTAGCGATTTCTTGCTCAATATGTTCAGAATAGCATTATTTTACCCAAAACCTTTGTCTTAATCTAAAGGTTTTCGTTTATGAGGACGGTATCCATTGCCGTAATATGATTGGCCTCCTTAGGTCACGTGTCTGATTTTGACCAATCACGACCCTTATAGCAGACTGTGGTGAAAATGGTCATTAGAAACCTATCTTTTTCCAATAAAATCGCTTCTTAC